CGATCTCCTGTACCCATCTGATGTAGGGTACTTCCCACTTTCTCTTCTATCAGGTTCAATGTGTTCTGACTGATAGTGAGGTCTTTAATCCATTTGGACTTGAGTTTTGTGCATGGTGATAGATATGGATCTATTTTCATTCTTCTACAGGTTGACATCCAGTTATGCCAGCACCATTTGTTGAAGATGCTTTCTTTTTTCCATTGTATACTTTTGGCTCCTTTATCAAAAATGAGGTGTTCATAGGTTTGTGGGTTAAAATTCGGGTCTTCTATGCGATTCCATTGGTCGACTTCTCTGTTTTTATGCCAGTACCACACTGTTTTCATCACTGTAGCTCTGTAATAGAGTTTGAAGTCAGGGATGGTAATGCCTCCAGAAATTCCTTTATTGTATGAAGTTGTTTTGGCTATCCTGGTTTTTTTGTTTTTCCATATAAAGTTGATTATTGTCCTCTCAAGATCTGTGAAGAATTTTGATGGTACCTTGATGGGGATTGCATTGAATCTATAAATTGCCTTTGGTAGAATTGCCATTTTTACTAGGTTGATCCTCCCAATCCAAGAGCAAGGGAGGTCCTTCCATTTTCTGGTATACTCCTCAGTTTCTTTCTTCAATGCCTTAAAGTTCTTGTCAAATAGATCTTTCACTTCCTTGGTTAGATTTACCCCAAGATATTTTATGCTGTTTGTGGCTATCGTGAAAGGTGAATCTTCTCTGATTTCCCTCTCTGCTTCCATATCCTTTGTGTATAAGAGGGTGACTGATTTTTTGGAGTTGATCTTGTATCCTGCCACATTACTAAAGCTGTTTATCAGCTGTAAAAGTTCTTTGGTGGAGTTTTGGGGGTCGCTTATGTACACTATCATATCATCTGCAAATAACGAAAGTTTAACTTCTTCCTTTCCAATTCGAATCCCCTTAATCCCCTTATGTTGTCTTATTGCTATTGCTAGAACTTCAAGCACTATATTGAAGAGGTATGGAGAGAGTGGACAGCCTTGTCGTGTTCCTGAGTTTAATGGAATGGCTTTGAGTTTCTCTCCATTTAATTTGATGTTAGCTGTCGGCTTGCTGTATATAGCTTTTATTATATTTAGGTATGACCCTTGTATCCCTAATCTCTCCAAGACTTTTATCATAAAGGGATGTTGAATTTTGTCAAATGCTTTTTCAGCATCTAATGAGATGATCATGTGGTTTTTTTCTTTCAGTTTATTTATATGATGGATTGCATTGATAGATTTTCGTATGTTGAAACAGCCCTGCATCCCTGGGATGAAGCCTACTTGATCATAATGGATAATTTTTCTTATGTGTTCTTGGATTCGGTTTGCCAGTATTTTGTTGAGGATTTTTGCATCGATGTTCATGGGTGATATTGGTCTATAATTCTCTTTCTTGGTTGAGTCTTTGTGCGGTTTTGGTATCAGAGTAACTGTAGCTTCATAAAAAGAATTTGGCAGTGCCTCTTCTGTTTCTATATTGTGAAATACATTAAGGAGTATAGGTATTAGATCTTCTTGGAAGTTCTGGTAGAATTCCGCATTGAAACCATCTGGTCCTGGGCTTTTTTTGGTAGGGAGGTTTTTGATAACCTCTTCTAATTCTTCGCGACTAACAGGTCTATTTAGATTGTTCACCTGGTCCTGATTTAACTTTGGTATATGATATTTATCTAAAAAAGTATCCATTTCCTTTACATTTTCCAGTTTTGTGGCATATAGGCTTTTGTAGTAAGATCTAATGATTCTTTGAATTTCCTCTGTGTCTGTGGTTATGTCCCCCTTTTCATTTCTGATCTTATTAATTTCCAAATTCTCTCTCTGCCGTTTGATTAGCTTGGATAGTGGTTTGTCAATCTTGTTGATTTTCTCCAGGAACCAGCTGAAATGACCCTATCCTATAGCAATACTGACGGATATCTTGCATATCATCATAGAACCTTCATCTGGTGAGGGATGGAGATAGAGACAGAGATCCACACTGGAGAACTGGACTGAGCTCCCAAGGTCCTAATGAGGAGCAGAAGGAGGGGGAACATGAGCAAAGAAGTCGGGACCACGAGGGTGCACCCACCCACTGAGACAGTGGAGCTGATCTATTGGGAGCTCACCAAGGCCAGCTGGACTGTGACTGAAAAAGCATGGGATAAAACTGGACTCTCTGAACATGGCGAACAATGAGAGCTGATGAGACGCAATGGCAAGGGGTTTTGATCCTACGTAATGTGCTGGCTTTGCGGGAGCCTAGCCAGTTTGGATATTCACCTTCCTAGATATGGACGGAGGGGGGAGGATCTAGGACTTACCACAGGGCAGGAAACCCTGACTGCTCTTTGGACTGGAGAGGGAGGGGGAAAGGAGTGGGGGGAGGGGGAGAAGGGTGGGAGGAGGGGGAGAATGGTGGAAGGAGGGGGAGGGAAATGGGAGGCTGGGAGGAGGTGGAAACTTGGTTTTTTTTTTCTCATTTTCTCAATTAAAAAAAACGATTTAAATAAAAAAATCAAAAAAAACAAAAAACAAAAAAAATTAAAAGTTTATCTGTTATAAACTTACTACTTTGATTTAGTTAAATTACATAATGTCAAACTATCCTTTAACTACCTATATTTATACCCATAATGAGAAGTCCCCTTTTGCAATGAACTGTAGTGAATACTCATTCAAGGGGCTGAGAATAAGTGACAGTTGAGTTCTCAGTCACAAGTGAGACATTGGCATCTCCCAATCTATGGTTCAAAATGTTTCAGGACAGAAATAATGTGAGAGCTGAAAAGTAGGGAGAAAAACTGAGAAATATCATCCTCTATATGCAATACAGCCATTGGGATCTTGAACTTATATCAGCTGCTGTTGCCATTGCTAGGACTGCACAAAACTGCCCCTGCAAGAAATCTATTATTGGATCATGAGGTCCTATTCATCCCTGATGAAATATTGGCTACTGAAAAATTCTAGAGAGGGGAAGTCATTACCTTTACCTAGTTCCAATGGATAATTTCAAACAAATGGCCACAAAGAGAGCCCTGCTTTCCTCATACTTTTATCCTGTAGCCATTCTGGAGAGGGATTTTTTTTTGGCACTCTTAAGACTCACTCCTCCAGTTAAAAGAAACATCAATTCCTGGTATTCGATCTCTTTCTTGGCCCTGCGTTCCCAAACAATTGTAAACTGTTGATATTAAAATGGAATTATATCAAAAAAAAAAGAGAGCCCTGGTTAAACTCAATGAATCATGAAATAAAACAAAATGTTATGCATGGCAAGAATTTAGAGGGAGGAGGGGACATTGATGGGGCTGAGAGGTATTTATAAAGTACAAATTCAGTTAATAAAAGACAGCCCTGTATCATGTCTTTCTTGGTGGACTTTCTTTGGATTGCCAGTCCCTAAATAATGTCACAGAGACTTATTATTAATGATGAAACTTGGTCTTAACTTAGGCTTGTTCTGCTAGCGTGTGTCATTGATGTCTGACTCTGCCCTTCTGCCTGCAGTACCAGCTAGGGGCTGTGTTTACCTCCCCCAACTCTCAGAAGCTGCTGAGTCTGCTTTCTAAACTCCCCATGAGTGGCAGCTAACTGTTGGGAGTGCTCATGGAGAGTCCCAGGCACTGACTGCTGCGATTTCTCCATTAGTGTGGTCATGCCCCATGTTGGGTACCAAATGTAGTAAATCTTTTATGTTGGACCTTTTTTGAACTGACAACCCCCAAGTAATGGCATAGAGACTTGGTATAAATTATGAAAGCTTGACTTTAGCTTAGGTTTGTCCCACTAGCTCCTATATCTTCTTTCTCTGTAGCTTTTTTGGTTCCTGTCCTGGAACTAGCTCTTCTAGACCAGGCTGGCCTCGAACTCACAATTAGTCTGTTTCTGTTTATCTACATTCTGCCACATAGCTCTTTACCTCTCATCCAATCCATTCTGCATGTCCTACTCCCTCTGTGTCTCGCTGGCTAATTTTGTGGGCCTAGCTTTATCCCCTGAGTTCCTCTCTCTCTGCCTGGAAGTTCTGCCTAATCTCTTTTGCCTAGTTATTGACCATTCAACTTTTATTAAACCAAACTCAGTGACACATCTTCACACAGTGTACAAATATCCCTCAGCACAACTCAAGGACTTTTTTTGAATTATGTATGTTTCCTCTTCAGGTTCAATAGAGAAACCCAGCTGGACATGTGAAGGCAAACAAAGTGTTTTGCAGCATTTTAGGACAAGTGTCTGGAAGTTGTGCACATCGTAAAGAAACCATAAAAGTGATCTCTATCTATCTGGACAATTGCATGACAATGATGCACATGAAATGCCTATAGTCACTTCCTTATTGATGCGTTGGTCAAGAGTAATGCTTACAAAATGTCTGAACTAGATGAACAAAGCGCTTTTAGAACAATCCCTCTGGAATACTTGAAATATTATTTTCGCTTAAATGATTGGTCTCTTAGGAGAAGAAAGTTGGTTGTCAGGGAAACCCATCTTCAGGAACAGAAGGGTCTGATTCGGAGCTGTGGAATTTTAAGGGGGATGGTAGCTTGTGCATGAGGAAATACTATCCTGAGGTTTGAGACTGGAGGCTTGATCACGGGACATCTTGGAAGAAGCAGCCAAAGTTTGGCTGCATTACTTTGGCCTATAAACCAAAATGTCACAAATGATTTCTGCAAGGCTGTGAGTCCCTTCAGTTTTGTTTGCCTTTTCTCCTCCTCAACACCTCAGTTAAGGCTCAGTCACACAGTGAAAGCCTGGGTTGAGTAGGAAAATGACATGTGCCTGTTCAAGTAGGCACTTAATCTGTCTCTAAGAAGGTCTGGCTTCCTAAAAATGAGTTAATCAACATTTTATTGTAAACCTCTCATTTTTCTAAAAAGTCCATTTGGAAAAAACATTGGGAAAAAGAGAGAACCTATTTTTTGTTGCAAATATGAGCCTTTCCTTTTTGACTTAGTGAAGAACCATTTATTCTTCTTTTTATAAGTATATTTACATATTCTGATTAATACATCAAGTGTGTAACGCAGGAAATCCATTAAGAATTCTAAGACCATGTTAGACTCAGTTGTACATTGTTTTAGGATATTAGATAAACATAGCTTTTATTATCACATCACATACATATGCACACACACATATATACTTTTATACACACAAACATCTATCTATCTATCATCTATCTATCTATCTATCTATCTACAGATATACTTTTCCATTCACAAGGGGCATGCCTTTCAAAAATATTTTATTGGATGAAACAGTCTTAATATAATGAAAGCTTTTGATTCTTCAATATAATTTATTATGCTTTTTAAAATTCTGTTTGATAAAAGAATTGGTATATTATAAATACCTGTAAAGAAAATATAGCTTAAAATTCCAAGGGAAATATTATATAATTATTATTTTTAACATTTTCACAAAATCCACATAGGCACTAAGAAAGACTGACAAAAATATTTTATGTCTAGACAACATATACTGCAGGTTGGAAACATTCAAACATTGTATTGTCTAATATTAAAGCTTATCCAGAGTGAACCTTTGGCTATAGCCCATGAGTTGGTTGAAGTTTTTACAGGGAAAATATATTATTAGAGAGGGATGAAGAAAATCTCCATATATTTAGTATAAGAATTAGGGAAGAATGGGGTCAACCTCCAACTCTTTCATTATTTTAAATCACTAATTATCAATTACCAATATTATCCTCCAGGCCATTTATTAGTTGAAATTTAATGTAATAACTCATAAGGCATTTATAGCTTTAACATGCTACAACAGTGGAAAATTCATTTAAACTTTATAGAAAAAAACAATGTAAAACCTTCAAGAACAGAGGGCTACTTCAAACCTTCTAGGAATCATGGGCATGGCTCTGGAGAGAGCCTTGCTATGTACAAATTCAAATGATGAAACAAGGAGGTGAACATTGTCATACTAACCACATGCAAACCAAAGCAAATGATTTGTCTTTCTGAACTGGATCAATGCTAGGAGTGACTGTAGAATGCTCAGATTTTGAAGAAAATTTGCAAACAGAAATTCAATTGTAGAATGCAGGCATACAGTTAACTACATTGACATATTACGATAAGGAAGTGGGGGTCTCCAGTCAAAGAGAAGTACAAATGAACATCCAGGTGAGATAAGATTAAGTGCTCATATTAAAATTTCAGAGGCATTTTAGGATTCCAAGTACTCTTTTCCTTATAAATGCACCAAACTAACTAGGTCATAGCAAACTCAATTATTAATGACAGAGCCTGCCTGGAAGTAATCATGGGTAATCTTTTTTCTTAATGCATTAACACTTTATACATATCCATTTAATGCAGGAAAAATCACATTCATAGAAAGACAAATATCACATTTTCTCTCATATATCGAATCCGGATGAAATGAAAAGACAAGGAATTGGAAGCAAGAATACTTGTGAATAGAAGGTAAGTAAGCGGGGACAGGCAGAAAAGAGGTTAATGGGGATAGACATTGACCAAGTACATGAAATACTTGCAGGAGAATGTCAAAATGAAACCTTATTTTCTATAACTAACACACATTAATTAAAAAGGGATAAATTCCCATGGGATACGAAGTAGCAAAATAAAGCAGCCATTGTAAGAATGTTGGCCAGGGAAGCCTAGACTTCGAATCTTACAAGGAAGGTGCTATCTCGAGCCAGCTATTGCCATGATGGAAGATGGGTTGGAAAATCAGATTTTATGTGAAATCTCACACCGTGAACACATTTTACATTTTCAATACATTATGTATAACTTACAGGACAAATAAGATTTAAGTGCTGCCTACCTGTTTTCTGATTTGAAACATGGAAGAAAATTGGTAAGAATTTGAATATTGTTCTCGGAGATTGGAGAACACCCTGTGGTATCCAGAGATGAACACTCATTTGCAGAAAGTCAGAAGAACCTGTCCTAGGAACATGATTTGTGAAAATACTCTCATTGTTTCTCCTCTTTAATCAACATATTCCCTGTTAATACATTGGCTCTCTATATATTGAGTAGTTACTTGTTATTAAACAAAACTATGACTAGGAATTTCCCAACCTCAAGTTTAATTTTGTTCTGAGAAAATGGCATGGATGAGTTCTTTGAGTTTTGAGCTTGTGTCTCAGAAAGGAAATATACAAGGCAGAAGGGAAAATAAAAGGCCAGACTATATACAGTATGAGTCACAGCCATCTCTGGATCCACAGAGATCTCTGCATTGCATGCCAATCAAGAGGAATATTCTGTAACTATTCTAGTTAGTTAATATAAAATTTAAGATCTGCTACCATATGTAAATAATGTATTTTATTCTACCCTCTCAAAGATGGTCAGATCAGCAGCCTCCGCATGAGCAACACATGATACAGAGAGGCCTAGGGTCCTTAGTGAGCTGTGAACTCTCACTAGATGCTTTATGAATGCTTCCTTAAGATAAAAATTCAAAGAACTCCATTGCAAAAATAGGAAACAAGATAAGTTGTAGCCTCCAATTTTTGTAGATTACTTTTCCAAGTTAAAATGAATCTCCTAGTCTTTTCCTATTCTTGTGAGATATGAAATGGGGAGGCTCAAGGACCCATTCCATTTGGTAAAGAGTTGTATGTCAATAGTGACTTTAGAAAGATGGTTGCTTGATTCATACAGATAGGGAAGACATTCTTAAATACTGAGACCCATTCATGAAGTTGGTTTTCCTTTTGGAACTCACCCCAACGTACAGTTTGAGGAGAAAAGGTAAAAGAACCACAAAGGACATTATAAGCATAGGAATCAGTGACACAGCTCCAGACCCAGGACCATCTAAGGGGAAGGAGGATTCATGAATATTTCCAACTTGGGGCCACACACTTAAGAATTTTCCTCATTCAGAATGTCTACAAGAGCTTGCAGCAGCCTATCATCTCTGTGCTTATAAGGTTTGGTATTATAGAAAACATCAACATAGTCACTATACAGATTGTCCTCAGAGTCTTCAAGCCGGGAAGGTTTGTTTAGCTTTTCCAGTGCTTCATAGAAATTTGCATAGGGGATGCTGAGCTTTGCACCTGGAGACGTCTTTGGTGATTGCTTTGAAGGTGGGATTTTGCTGAAAGCACTTTGTAGGAGCCGTAGTATGGCCTCTGAAGGAGCCCCTTGTGCTAGCTCATCTCTTCTGCCCTCCACACTGCTGCTGCTGGAGCTTTGAGGCACCGGGAGATTGTCATTCAGGCTCTTTTGTGTGGGCTGCTCCTGAAATACAAAACATCATCAAGAAAGGGGGAAATTCATTATTTACAGCCAGAAAAGCTAGATGCAGACTTAACTCAAGCGCACTACAGGTCCCTTGAGAAGCAATTTGCAGAGCAGAGAGAGCACAAGGTTTGGAGTTATAAGGTTTTGTATCTCACCCCTTATTTTCCCACTTACTGGCTCAACTTTGGCAACATTTCAGTCTCCCAAAATTTTAGCTATTAAGTAGAAATCAGAATGCTTCTATGTCTGGTGGCATTGGAGACTGAGACTATGCAAGTATGTATTCAATGTGCTATATTCCTTCACCATAAAGACTGCTACAATCTAATCCATTTGGGGAAATGACAGTAAGTATTTAACAACTCGTTTGTATAGCATCAGTTGCTTGCTGTGGGCAAATTCAGCTGACTAGAGGACCTATGCTCTTCTCATAAATTATTTGACTTAGAGAAAATCCCAGAGAAGGGTCATGAGCAGAAGCCTGGAGATCTGAGAAATGGCTCTTTGTCAACCATTATGGAAATACAGTGCCATTTAGGTCTTTCCATGATACAAAAATCAACAGATGTTCAAGTCCTTTGCATAGAATTGAAGGGATTGCCATATAACCTATATACATCTTCTAGTATACAGTATCATCTTTAGAGCATTTGTAATACTTAATAAAGTGTAAATACTTGTTATATTGCATTATTTAAAAGAATAGATAGAGGTAAGTAAGTCTGTACTTGTTCAATACAGAGGCAGTTCCTTCAAATATTTTTGATCTCTACTTGGTGGACTATAGGAATTTAGAACCCACCATAAGGGCTGATCATATTTCAATACTTCAATAAGAAAAAGTCTTGTTAATACTTGGAAAGGAACCAAAAAAATATGTGGCCTCTATAATATTGCCCCCACAATCTTTCAGAAACAGCCACAGTGTGAACTCTCCTCAATTGTTGTGGAGAAACTGTACCTGGACTATGCTTAGTAGAATACAAACAAAGCCAGAAGCCTATTTGAGGATTTTTCAAAGTTAGTTTATAAGTTCGTCCTGTAAGTGTCATGCCTCAAAACCTTCTAAAACATCCAGTAGAGAGATCTCCCACTTAGGGTAGATCATTCCAGCGAGGCACTATATCAGATGCTGGGGATGTGTGGGAAACAGATGGCCTCTCTTCATGGCTTCTAAAAAAGGCAGAGCCTGTAGCTCCTGGAACTAGGATCACATTGGCTACACTATGAATTTTTCTGAGAGAAGCTGTAATTTCATAACTCTTCTTAATGATGACAAGGCATGTCAGCTAAGTGCCAATTCTAAAGAGAAATTAGTAAAGAGAAGCTTTCATGATTTGACTGTCTAACCTTGGTCTCCTTTCTTTAAATATTTTCTGTCTAGATTAGAGAGATTACAGTTTAAATAAAATAAAATAAAACTGACATTATTTTTTATAAAGTTATGTTTTTTTTTGTTTTTTTTTTTTTTTTTTTTTTTTTTTTTTTTTTGAGACAGGGTTTCTCTGTATAGCCTTGACCATCCTGGAACTCACTCTGTAGACCAGAGACCAGGCCGGCCTTGAACTCAGAGATTCACCTGCCTCTGCCTCCTGAGTGCTGGGATTAAAGGTGTGTGCCACCACTGCCAAACTAATATGGAATAATTGCTCTGAAATAAAATACTGCATAATATATTATAATAGGTATACACAACCATGTAAGACCCAGTGTGATTTGCAATATGTTGTCATACATGAATAAAATTCATGTTATAAAATTTAATTTTATGTTCATTAGCTTTAATTAATGAACTCCAGATTTAAGACTATAAGAAAAAACAAAGGTTCATCCAGTTCAGAACCAACAGTTTTTCTCTCCCAATCCCTTTCTCTCTATTTATACATGAATTCTTCCCTTTGTAAAAACTAGATGCATCTTGCCTCGCTCATTGTTTACTACTGTTCAAGAACAGAGTACACACAGCAGGAGCAGAGCTACACAGACCTCTACCACATTCACCATCTTCTCCACTCCTCTCCTGTCATTCTGGACAGTATTGTAGGATGTATACACACGGGGCTGCTTCATGTGCTCTGGTTGAGAGGAGGTCCCGTGCAAAATCAACTTCCAATTCACAATCCTTCCTTCATTTTGCATTCTTCCAGACTGGCAACAACAAGCACATGTATATTTTAGTCTGTGTTTCAATTATAAAACAAACCTATTCAAAATGCCTAGAGAATCTCGTAGTTAAAATCTAATTTTAAGGGGTTGTGCATTTCACATTCAAAGATCTGTTTTGAGGGGGCTGGAGAGATGGCTCAGAGGGTAAGAGCACTGGCTGCTCTTCCAAAGGTCCTGAGTTCAATTCCCAGCAACCACATGGTGGCTCACAAACATCTGTAATGAGACCTGGTGCTTTCCTTGCCAGCAGTACATTGGATGCTTAATAAATAAATCTTTAAAAAAAAAAAAAAAAAGATCTGTTTTGAAAGGAACTGTTGGATCCACTCCTCTAATGCTATGGAAGTCCAGCATTTTGACTGATTGATTGCCTCACACTCATGTTCAAAAAGCAGAGTTCCCGGGTGAATCTCTTTTGTCACATTGGTCCTGTTCTCGAGAAGCTGATTGTTTCTGAAACATCTGTAAGTCAAACATCTACACCTGTGGCATCAGACTGTATGGATGTGACATGAAGTGGACCCATCATAGTAAGCCATTGAGCTTAGTTTCCCACAGCTGAAACTGAGCTGAAGAATTCAGGAGGGGCTAGGTAGGAAGGTGGCTCAGTGATTAAGAGCACTGACTGCTCTTTCAGGGGATCCAGGTTCATCTTTTGAAGTTTAAAGTGATTTATTTTTAAAAATTATCTAGGCAATGAGATCTTCACTGCTGGTCCTTACACTTTTCTCTCACACCTCAAAGATGGAACACCATAAATTTACATCACAGCCTTCAGCGAAAGCAGGGGAATGGCACAGAAACTAAGAATTCAGCAATTTGGCTTCAAGTCAGAGACAGCCCAGCCATTTGATCCTTGTGGCATTGTATTTTAACAAGTCATAAAGAGTATTAATACAAATATTTCATCTGAAATGTTTGCAACCAGAAGTATTTCAGAATTCCAAATCTCTCTGGTCTTAAAGGTTTTTACCAGCTGAGAGTCTCTATTCTCCAAATAAAGTCTGGAGGGTTCTAAACCTGCAATGTTGTTGAGTATCATTTGAGCTTTAGAAATCAAAATTTAAAAAACTGTAGTGTATTTTTGTTACTAAAAGTAGAAATAAGATATTAAATAAAATGTCTTGCTTAACCTGAAACAGGAACCTGCTACTCAGTGAGAGCTGCGGATGAGTTGTAGGGATACTCTCCTTGACTCCAGCAAAATATCCTACCAAAGGTGCTTTCGTAGCCAGGTGTCTCTGTGATTATGGATGATTCTAGGGACCACAGGTCACATGGCTGGCTGCATACATTTTTTTCCTCCCTTACAGCATAACTGAGTTTAGTAGTCTCGTAAATTATTGTCTATATAACTAAGGGGGCAGGGCAACCCTATACTTTTATCTTTCTTCTGCTAAGAAGTGGACAGGTCAAGTTTATTAGGACCTAACTAGGGATGGCATCAACATTTTAAAGTACTTCAAAGTATTTGAAAATGAGTTTTGTTTCTTTGTCTTCTTACTCATGCTTACCATGTCTGTAATTTTCAATGTCCAGATGCCTACAGGATTCTCTCCCCATGTGTGAACAGACATGAAGTCCCAATTTTTAAAGCCATTGGGGGATGTATCCCGCTCCCTTTCAGCCAACAGTACGGTGCTGGTTCCTATTTTCATACAACAAACATGTTAGTGAATATCCTGACCTGACAGTCTGATCATAGGATTCACTGTAGCATTTAATAACTGATAAATAATGGTAAGATTAACTGAACTATATATAGTCTGTCAGTGTGAGAGGCTAGGAATCTTAGTAGTATTTTAGGCAAACTCCAAGGCATCTAGAAAGTATACTTCTGCAAGCTCCAAGACTTCATATGCCAGAAAGATCACGGAGTCAATTAGCACATCTTTGCTTGTCTATTGTCTATGGAAGATGAAATTATTCAGCTGAATGTTATCAAAATATTTTGCAAGAAATTTTAATAATATATTTTTATTTATTTGTGTATATGTGTTTGTGTGTGTGTGTGTGCATGTGTGTGTGCTTGAAGGTTTGTGCATACACGTGTATGAGCCAAGGTACATGTGTGCAATTCAGAGGATGACTTGTGGGAATCAGTTCTCTCCTATCACATGGGTCCTGGGGATGGTACTCAGACCATCAGGCTTAACAGCAGGTGCCTTTACCTATCTCACTGATCCATCAACATACTTAAATATATTGAGACAACTTTTAGTTGGATTGTGGTTTATGGCTCAACAGTTCTTAAATCATCTTAACTAGGACACTCTCAGGAATAGTGTAAAGTCTATATTATTACGTATTTTTATTTGTATCACTGTGAAGATTTAATCATTATTCTCATTCAACTTTATGGGTCACAATTCTTAACTTTTCAATTAATTACTTCAATAATCCAGACATATTTATAATTTGATAATTATTGAAAATATATCATTGTCACCTAAGAGATGTAAATGCTCAGTCTTTAACCTAGGGAAAAGAATGTAGTTTGAAAACAGTGATTTCAGAAAAGTTTATGAATTAGCATACTGGAGCAGGTCAAACCCTTTACCTAGTGTCTAGTGGTAGTGAGCAGGAAGAAAGAATCTACCACCAACAGAAAGAGGATGTTTTAAAGAATAGTATATGGATACAATGAGACTTGGTCCTACAGTCATTGATTGGTTGTTGAAGCTTACCCGCAGCAGAAGTGAGTGTGACATGAAGGTCTCCTCTACGAGAATATTCGATTGTTGCTTCAAACTGTACATGTTCCAGGGACTTGATAACATTTTCTTGTCCTTCACAAGCTCTTGTTGGGATTTCAACAATCACTTCTCCATTAGCTTTCAGGGCTCTACATACATTAGAGAAACAACATTAAAGAAAGGGGAACTTTCCTGCCATCCTTTTGCTTCTTTGAAACAGGTGCACAGGTGCATGCATGTCTTGACCAGAGAGTCAGCAAGGCTTAATTATTATATAATTATCTGAGTGAGAGGTCAATTCAGAATTATCTTATAATTATTATCTAATTATCTGAGTGAGAGGTCAGTTCAGAATTATCTTATAATTATTGTATAATTATCTGAATGAGAAGCTCAATTCAGAATTATCTGTAGGAGAATTTAATGCGTGAGAAATGGTAAGGAATGCAAATATATAAAGATGATGCTATTGCTGTACAATTAAGTTCAGTTTTGTCTTCATTCCAACAAAAGTGGTCCATAACAATCTAAGCAATCAGATCCTCATAAAAATTAGATTCATGTATAAGGCCTTCCTAAGGCAAGTTTCTATGCTTTTCAAGCTTGGGGAATTTGTGTGAGTGGATTTTTATTAGCATTATGGTCACCTTGATGAAAACATAATGACAATTATAGCAGATTCTGTTTCCATAACCACACAATGAGCCAGGATAATCCATAAAGAAATGCAGTAGGAAGTAGGACTTCTGAAATAAGCTTTAGGTAACACTAGTTGGCAAGTACTGGATTCCATCAATGCTAAATTGCATTTTCAAAACAAACTTAATATTTTTATTTGAGAAAGAATATTTTTTCATATTTCTTATTTAAAAAATTTACTTTTCATTTTATATACTAACCCCAGAGAAAGAATCTTAAAACTAATTGTTGATTGGTATTGGTTTGAGGATGTTTTGTCTTACTGTTATACAAAACAAAGATGCCTCTAAGGCTTAGCTTTACATTGCAGGTAGCCTGCAAGAAGAAAATGGAAAGACATTAGCATGACTAGCAGATCTTTGGTTTCTCCATGGTTCCCCAGAGGGACACAGACAAAGTGAACACTGTTCTGTGAATTCCATCCTCAGCTATTTCATATGACCAAGTGTATGAGAAAAACTGCAGTGACAACACCTTACCCAAACTGTGCTGGGGGCATGACATTGTTTAAAATTCCTGCAGATCCTTACCTAGGCTCAAAGGCATCGTCTTTTACAACACATTCTTTCTTCTCAGGCACACTTCTCCAGGTCCTAGGATCAGCCAGATCCACCAAAGCTTTGGCATTTAGCAAACCAAATCCAAACCGACTGTTCACCATCAAGCCTGCACCATTCTTTTTCCAACCTGGGTTATTGGCCAATGGGTCATACTCAGAGGTCCAGACAACCAAATGCTGCATGTCTCTCCAGGTGAGATTTGGGCTAGAGAGAAAGTGACCCAAAGTATCTTTTAGGGATAAAATAAAGTATTATTATAAACTCAAGTGCTTATTTTAATCCTCAAGGGATTATTAAATACCTTTTGTAAATATATATTCTGTTGTTTAATGCTATGTTCTTTTATTTAGAACTCAATATAATACTAAAAATTCTTACCTAGAATATTCAAGTTAAACTCTTACTGTCAGTAAAATTCAACCTCAAGCACTGTTGACATGAGAAATTTTGTTCTGGACTCTAGTTATTTGTATTTATCTAAAGCAATTTCTTTTGTTTTTTATTTAATTTTTATTGATTCTTTGGTAATTTCACATCGTGTATCCTAATTCTGCTCATTTCCCAGTCCCTGCATATCTCTCTCTCACTGCTGTAACATCCTCTCAAAAGAAAATTTAAAAACATATTAATTTAAAATGGACCAAAGTAAACAAACAAACAAGAAACCCACATCTCTCATCCGTCTTTCCCACCTCTCCAACACTTCTTCATTTAAGTGTCATTGAGAGCTATAATGTGTCATGCAGTATCTTGCCTTCTTTTTTTTTAATGTAGTCAGAGCTCTATATTCCTGGGTTCCACATACTTATGATTCAACCAAACATAGATCAAAAATATTTCAAGAGAAAAAATTTCCATTTGTACTGCTGTGTATATACTTTTCCTTGTTACCATTCTTTAAACAGTGCCGTGCAACATAGGCTTTACATTGTATTACGTATTGAAAGTAATTTGAAAATTACTTAAAATATATGAGGTGTGCATACATTGTTTACAGTTACTATATCATTTCATATAAGAGACTTGAGCCTTGTAGAACATGATCCTAAATCTGGTCCTTGGCAGATAATGAGGGATGAAAATAAAAGAAGGTTATCAAGAAACTTTTGGCTTCGTGAGATTAGTCTTGAAAGGTACTATGCTAAATATTATTAGAATATTCAAGGAGGTGGTTCTGGTTCTTCAAAAATGTGCACTGCAGTTAAAAAGCCTTTTATGTAACTTTCTATGCTGAATGCTGCATTTATAACTTAATGTACTATGAAAGCCTGGAGAACATCTTTTCTGGGAAGACGTATGTGAGGTGAACTTTGAAGGGTTAGTAGAGCTTCTGAAAGGGAGTCCATGGCAACAGGAGCAGAAGTAGCATGATGTGGGAGAACAGCTGGGGCCAGATTACAATCTGTATGCTACAGCAGAGAAGAGACAATGAGGTGAGCTGAGTCAGAAGCCTGAAGATGCTGAATGTCATAGAGTCAGCTTCAATTTTATCATTTAGACAGTGGGAATTATTCTGGACTTTTGATTAAGAAAATGGTGACATTTGATGTTTTAGTAAAATTACTTTGTCAACAACATGTTAACGTTGGAGACTCAAAGTTTTACAATAGGTTGAGACCTTCCTTGACTACTCTGATGAGATGTCCAGCTCTTCCCAACATGCTCCTGGAGGTCATACCATGCTCTGATGTTTCTCTTTTCTCCATATTACTACATACTGGTCCACTCATCTGTTTCGTGTCTTATTTTCAGTTGCTTTAGCTAGGATTTAGCCACAAGGACTGAAAACTTATTACCTCATTCCATGATGTTCAGAAAACACACAGAAGAATGCCAGGCACAAGAGTATATGGGATTGGCAAACAAGTAGGGGCACCTCACATCAAGCCTGTTGATCTGACTGCTACCCCCAACAGCTGCTTGGTGGAAGGAGAGAGAACTGACTCTTGCAAGGTATCCTCTGACCTCCACATGTGTGTCCTCTGTAGCACATACATGTGCACATACATCTACCAGGAAAATATAACAAAATATCTAAGCTGCACACAAAAGTCTCACCACTAAATCTACCCAAACATGAACTGAACAAAGACAACAATAACAGACATGTTAAAGTGGACCAAAGAAAGTCTATGAGGCCTCAATCCTACATAAAGAACTACAGGTACCTAATGAATACTGAGAGTTGGAAAAATTGTCTTCCAAGAAAGAGCACATTGCTTACCTTGAAAACATGCACACAAGTTACATTAAACGGACTGAACTGGTTCTATTTAGGAACACATACGTATATACATATGTGACAAGAATTAATAAAATAAGAGGTCATGAATTTTAAAGAGTAATGAGGTTATATAGAAGAGTTTGGGAGGAGAAAAGGAAAGGATAAAATCATAATTATAATCAAAAAATAATAAAAAAGAGTATATGTAAGCAATGTTGATGAATAAGAAGTAGGCTATGTTTAATATTGATTTAATTTAGAAGCTTATTGCTGTTAGTCATTGGACTATTTCAAGACTTTAAGCTTTTCATTGCTTTTATAAACTTCATTGGTTCCCTCTTGTCAAATAAAGCATTATTTAATAAATAATGCATATTTCTCAATGGTTCTATCTTACCACGAGGCTGCAGAATCATGGAAATATGGCTCAATTTGCTATCATTTCCCCCAAAGCCAATAATGTATCAGTTAACCAATGCCCTATCTGAATTAAGATACTGAAGAGTTTCTAATTTGAACTTTCAAAGAGAATTCCATAAATGTTCTGGGGGTTTGTCCCCTGAAGGCTTTAAGCAATATTGATGGTTTATTTCTGTTTCTCTCAACTTTAATAAAGTCAGAGGTTCATCTTTTTATTGACTATCTGCAAAGGTGTGGTAGGATCCAATGAGTCTCTTGAGAATTTTTCTTTCCTATTAAAAGTGTTCTGATTTGCCTTTGAAGACTAAGAAGATTATCTATCTGCAAGCTTTCTTAGATATGCTTAATACATACTAATCATGATACCACAAATATTTATGCAGAGAATTTATTTCTCCTGAATTTGCTTATTTGGTACCCTACTGGACAACCCCATAATCACAGCTGGATGAAGTTGTAGAATACAATTCTTAAGAGTAGAGTATTTATTCCCAAAGCTAGATTAAAGTACCCCAAAATGCCTTGGATGAACACAGAGCTTCTAGAATGTACTCTTTAGAATCTGGGTCCTTAGCAATTGGGAAAGAGCATGGAAATAACTTGCCCTGAGGGATTCTGTACTCAAGGGTTACTGCCTAGGGAAGGAAAGTCTTGCTTTATAGATTATTTCTGCCTGAAATGATTCTTTCTCCTTCCCTTTCTTCTCCAGTCTCCTAGCTCTTCCTCATAAGTACAGTAAGGTGACTGAGACTGCAGCCTTTTATGGAAACAACAGGTTCTTCACATCATCCTCCTTTGTTTGGTGAGATGATTGAATTCCATTCAACACTCTTCTCCCTGTCAGAAATGTCGGGAACAGCATAGGGTAGTACCATTTCAGGGCAGACAGGCCAGAGTTTACATTTTTTTGTGAGATATTAATCACATATTTCAACCCCTCTAAGTCTCAATCTCTTCATTTATAAAATGTGACTGCTAGTTTCTATATTATAAACATAAGGATTAGAAATAACATTGTATGTAAAAGTTTAGCACATTGTCTGGCCCACAATAAGAACATAATAAGCACTGAATGCCATTCTTGATAAGTTTAATCAAAAGTCATTCATTCTCTCTGGCTGTTTCTTAGGTGGTGATGAGTGTTTGAATGATTCAGTCTAGAGTGACTATGGACATAGCTTAGGCTTCTATGTAGAAATTCTAGTATTCAGATTTTTCTGATATATATATATAGTCTTGAATAGGCCATTGAATAGGGCTCATGCAATTGAGAACAGACATCTCAACAATTGTTATATACTTTAGCAGGATAGATACAAGTGCTTAGACAGATATGTCTGTTGTACCAATAACTAGAATCAAAATTAGGGAAAGTAACATTGTATGTTCTGCCCCTGGATGATCACAAACTACTAATGTTTTAATCATGAAAATGATGTTGATCTTCCAGAACCCACAAGCCAGTGCCCATAAAATTCTCTATATATCTTCTCAAATAATTCTGCATTTAGGGAGCAAAAAAATTGGCAGACTACTTAGTAACTAGGCATGGATTTCACGGCAATGATGCCCCTCCTTTAGGCAAAGCTCACTAGTGGTAAATAAGATTAATTAAGCTAGATAATTTTTAGACAGTTTCCCTCCCATGTAGGTATGAAGGTTCAGAAATTTTAAAATCTCAGTTCTGGGGCTGGAGAGATGTCTCCATGGGTTTTGATTATTTGCTGTTCTTGCAGAGGACCTGAGTTGATTCCCAGTACAGAACAGGTTATAGGCAACTCCAATTACCTGTAACTCCAGTTCCAGGGGATATGATGCTCTCTTCTAAGATGCAGAGGCATTGCAGGCATGTAGTGCGCACACATGCATTCATATAAATAAAAAGTAAACTTCTAGTTCTTACATAAAAATTAACACTGTAAGGTTTTTATGTTATAAAAACACTGTAAACCAAAATGGGCTTGGACTGGTGTACTGTATTTGTATGCATCTGATAGACAGTGAATAGAGAAGGGAAAATGCCCAATTTAAACATCTTTCCAGTTCTTCCCAATAGACACTAGATAGGAGCCTGGACAGGGGTCATGCCAGATCTTATTGCTGATACCCAGAAATTCCACCTTCATCTCTTCAGGGAGCCCCAGGGGAACCAGAGCTTCACCAGACTCCTTTGAACAAAGACTCGGCTGCTCAGAACTTCTCCGGGTGCTTTGGAAGGCAGCATGTCTGTTCCTGTGAGTCTAGTCTGCAAATATGTGGGAGGCGGTTACACCTCTTCCAGCTTGGTTAACCTCTTGTCACCAAGCATCAGAAGGCAGGAACAAGGAGAAAAACGCCGTGGAAGCATGTATGGGGTAAATATGCTCTGCATTTCCCCTTCTGGTTTAAGTGTCAGAATGTTGAACAGCTCTTACTAAGCAAAGATGTTGATAAATTCATTTTTTTACCATCATATACTAAAATAAAGACCTGAGGGACTTAGAAGTTAGGCGCAGTAAAAGAGATACAATAAACACAAATAATTTGATTCTAATTTTGGTTTATGAGATGTTTTAAAGAAAGAAACTCTAGAGAAATAGACCAGCACACATAGCTGATTACTTATTAGCTTCATTACACTACATTACCTATGAGTAAACAGAAGGTAAATTCCAAACTGATAAAATAGTAATGGACCTTTGGAGCCCAGGTCATAAAACAAAGCTAGGTCCATAAAGAGGCTGTAACACAGGGCAACTGGTCAAATTTCTGAACTTCATCAATAATGACTCAAGTATTAAACAGGACACCATTTCCTATACACAGCAAGCATTTTAAAGGTGAACACTGGTAGTATTTTAGAAATTGGCAGTTTCAAATATCTACCTCTGGTGAAACAATAGCATGATATGGTCTTTCAAGGCAACAACTTGTCAATATGATTCAAAATCATTGAAGCACACCTTTTCTTTGGCTCAGAATTCCCAATTCTGTGTGCTCGCCTTAAGGACCATATCAGAAATGCCAGTATTTATAGAAACATGTTTGGAAGGTTTTACCAAAATTTGTATTTATAGTCTGTAGTAGTATGAAAAGGTAAAGTCCTGTTGTTAATTACCATGTCTTATCTAGTTACATGAGCTCCAGCATGAAGGCTTAATAATCTGAAGAAACATTCTTGATCTCAGCATCACTCCTAGGAAATGATTTAAACAGAATTCTGCCTGATAAGACAGGCTTGTTGTCCAAGAGGAGGACTAGGAGAAAACATAAATTTAGAAAGCCAAGGAACACTGACTTAAATGTGAGTCAATATCTCTAATATATTTTATTATATATATATTTATTTTATTTTATATTATTTTATATTATATTTTATATTTATTTTATTTTATATTATTTTATATTATATTTTATATTTATATTTATTTTATATTTATTTTATTATATATTTTATTATTTATATATATTAATATATATTATATTTAAAATAATTTAAAATAGGAAATATACATATAGATTTAAATATATATATTTGTATATATACAAATATATATTTAAATCTATATGTATATACAAATATATATATGTATATATATACAAATATACATTTGTATATATAAATATATATATTTAAATCTATACTGAGATGTCAAAAATGAAAATTTCAAAGTGGCACAATTTATCTGGATTTTGTTGTTGTTGTTGTTCCTGTTTTTGCAGTTGTCCAAAATTTCTCCTATAACCATATATTCAGAAACCAAAAGCTGACCAGAACTGGGAGCCTTACTTTGCTTCCAAGGCCAGCGCGAAGATGCCAGCAGCCAGAGGTGCAGAGGCTGAGGTGCCTGTGTGGGTCTCTGTGCACTCATCATGCAGGTCTGCACTTGTCTGAAAGAAGAAAGGCAGAGACATGAGGAGCACAGGAGGAGCGACAGTACCAGAGTCTGCGTCTGCTGTGACCAAGAAGCCCAAGATTCCATTCTCCACTTCCTCCTCTCAAGCACCAGCAACCGGATGTTTGCCATCTGCTGATATTTTAGTTCACTCGCCTCTATATGCAACTTGTCTGTAATTCTGGCAGTGAGCTGCCTTTTCTGAGAATGAAGTACTCCCACTATGAATATTTTCTCTTCTGAGATTCCTAAACGAAATGTGTCTATAAAAAAGGAAATGTTTCTAAGTCACTATGAATCATTCCAGCCCATTAATCATCAGGTCCATTGTGCACGGTCTGACATATTTAGAAATTATAACTCAAACAACATTCCCTCTGGCCTTCAGATTGACATCTATCTGCCTCTGTCACACAAGAATATAAAGACATCTTGATCAAAGCTCTTTCAACAAAACTTACTTAGAATAAATTTCGCATTAACTTTAAATTTGATTGGAAAGATATGAGTTCATGTCTTCTGACTTTAGATGGTCAGATTTAAAAATTAATCCACATGTGGTTCAGATTATAAAACACTGTGTATTAGATGTGACCCATGGTCACATGATATGGTCTTCTCATTAGCAGAATGGGATTCATATTTCCAGATTCAGTCTGCTTTGTGAAAGTATTTGAAAACAGTATTATTGTACGTAAGGAACTGTGCAGGCTAACTTTAGGATAATAAAAAAGTTACTGAGATAAATCAGAAATACCAAAAAGCCTTCCAGTCAGTCTCCTGGCTGAACAAGCAGTGGGACCAAGGGATTACTAAGCAGACACCCACCCAGGCTTCAGTGTTTTTGTGTTAGCTAGAGATCTCAGTGTGTGGGAGGGAGGTGTAAAAAAATAATTTGTTCTATTAGCACCTCCTTCGGCTTTCTACTTAGCATCCTTGAATTTCTCACGTTATGGTGGCTCTGCTTCTCAGAGAGCTGCGGAAGTCAAGATGCCCTTTATACCTGTTGACGCAAATAAGCCCCCAGAGATGACTATGTGGAGGAAAAGGGTTACGTAAGAAACAGCATTATTGCCACTGTCTCAAATAGAACTCACCATCTGTCTCTGCCAGAACTGGTTTACCTAAAAACAAATCTTCACCACGGTGGAAATCTCTTCCCTGCTTCAGTGCACTGGATTTTGGGTGAGGGGAAGTCTGTACAGTAGCAATTCTAAAGTGCTTAACAGGCAATTTTAACATTTCAACTAAACAAGCCAACTCTGGATGCTGCAGAAATAGCAACAGCTAGAGGCTCTGACACCCATGGACAGATGTCTGATATGTTCCTTTGTAAAGCTATAAAGTCTGCCTACCATAAAGAACCTTTGAGTAGAATGTGACAGTCTATTATTCAAGTAACTGAACATATGGCATGAGAGGGAGGCCAACACCTTTTAGTGGAGACTAAACAGCTCTGTTGCCTAAAGTAGGTACAGAAAAGGAGAAATAAAACACTCATCCATCGTGTGCAAACCAGACATTAGTACTGGTGATCTTTTCAGGGCTGTTAGTGGGAATTGTACATATATTCCAGGACCCTCATTCCCAGAAGAGTAGACAAAGACAAAGCCCTTACTTTGTTTCTCCCAAAAGACAGAATGTATAATACTATCTATCATAATCTATTGGGGTTACTGGCAACCAGTCCCCAGACCTGGTCATTATTAACTAGGTCACAGCCTGCTAATTTATTGAGGTTAGGATCTACATGTTTTATTGAGTGGATTCTATATCCAGAGTTAAATTTGAGGCTTTAAAAGTTTAAATTTAAAGTGCCCATCTCTGTTCTCAACGCCACCAAACAGTTCTTCATCATTATGCCCTTGAAGGGAAATCCAATAATTGTTCATGACTCATGGAAGTGAAGGCACAGGCTTGCGTGGGCTGGAGGAGATTGAAGCCTATAACTCCCTGTGCTGTTCCCTGAAGGCTGAGGAGTTCACCGCAGGCAAAATTGAGACTGTTATTTTTCATGTAGGTCATCTTTTCTTAAGCGATATCACCAGTGTACAGTCTATACTTTTATCATTTGCTAACAGTCAAGTCAGACTATATGCCTGTTATTAAAGGATCACAAAGACAGAATGATGAAGCCCTATGACCCTGAAATCTCCTTCTAGGCTGTTTCCAGAGATGCATCAGACAAGCGGAAAAGGCCTTTGGAGTGTCTGCTGTATGTAATGACAGGTTTTGCGGCTTCTCTGAGCTGAGTTTTAAAAAAAATGACAGGGAAGATCATCTTGGAAGAAGTGCTGTTATCCCGGGAGTGAAACTTCTCAATATATGTCAATCTTTCAAGTGAGTAAGCTCGAGTCTCCCCAACAGAGACATCAAGCTGAAGCAAATCAATTTCACCAAAGGTCAGGGAAGAGGATTGTTCTGAAAGCCTGCCTTGATCTGGAAGAGATATAGAAACAAAAGCAATCTGAAACATACTATTCGCTGGTCTGTGTAATCACCGCTGCTGTAGGAGGTGGCCAGTGTGGAGGAGCATTTCTCTGCATACCAGGGTGACAGGCCTTGTTGGGAGGCGCTGCTGATAGAGATGGTGTAAATGCTGTCTGTGTAGCCGTCACAGTCACAATTATCTCCCTGACGACCCCCATTCCCAGAGGCCCAAACAAAGATGGAGCCCTTCCCTTGTCTCCCCTAAAAGAAAAGACAAAATATAAATCAAACGATCATTATCTATTGTGGTTACTGACAAGACCACAAAACTACCAGAAAATACATGTAGAATGTTCTCAGAGACAATTCTTTGGAATCTGTCTTGAATTTCAGGGTCTCAAGGGTCAACGTCAGGCTGTATATTAGAGAACAGAACCAGAGTGTCCTGGCCAGTCTCTAGTTTTTACAGTCCTCTCTGCAGTGGGGTCCAGCAAGGCTTTTTCTTTCTTCTTTATTTATCTGGCCTTTAGCACAAGAACTATAATTCTCCTCACCCTTTTCTTGGCTATGTCACTCTCCTTGAATCTTTGAACTTCCTCTATTTCTGCTTGAATCGTCTCACTGATAGAATGACAAAATCAGGCATTATTCAGATCTGCCTTGCAGCTGCATTAAAAAACTCTGGATTGAATGAAACTCGTCAAAGCCACTTTTCTGTGATTTTTCAATTGGTGCTCTCCAAAGCATCTACTTTTGTCTCATCCTGCTTGGTTCAAGGTCTTAGAATCTGTCCAATAATGCAGTAAACTCAAGCGAAAGAGCAGCATCAGATGGGTGAGGGGAGTCCAGGTGCAATGTAGACAACAGCTGTTGCTGCATTCAAGCATGCGTTCTCAGAGCACCTGGAAGAAGTCTGGGTTAGAGATGACTCAGCACGTGTGCATGTGTATGTGTTCAGATACCTGTGTGTGTAGCTGTACATGCACGTCCGTGGAGGTCAGACGTCGGCCTTGATTGTCATTCTTGAGATATTATCTACCTATTTTTTTTTAAATAATCCATCTTGTTTGTTTAAGGCAAGGTCTCTCAACAAAGGTTGGCCAGACGGTGAACTTCAGGGATCGTTGCCTCTTTCTGCTGCCTCAGCACTGGGAGAGCAAATGTGCACTGTCCTTTGTGACAGATGCTGGGGCTCCAAATCAACCACTACTTTTTTACATGTTTTACAACCACTACTTTTTCATCTGAGCCATCTACCTCACCCCCAAAATATTTCAAATGTAAATATTCTAAACATTATGAATCTCTGTGCCATGTAGTACCCAAATATGGCTCTTAATCTTGAACACCCATTGCCTGAAGAGTAATTTAGTTATTTAAGTGCAATTATACTTGTGAAGGTGTTTTCCACAAAGCTCACTGTATTTTCTGTCTAACCTAAGTGTTCTCCTCTCCTAATAGTCCCCTGCGAGTCCGAATCAAGCATCTCACCTGTTTGACGCCGTACTCAAATGCCTTCTGAGCTAGTCTCCCAGGCCCCTCCACAGTTTTCCCATCATCATTAGGGCCCCAGCTTGCACTGTAAATATCCACATGGCCAGGGTTGAATCCAATTGAACTGGCCTCAATTGCATCAGTTACAATGCCATCCAGCATTCTTATGCCTGAGCAAAACAAAGAAGCAACACAATGAGAATGTAACAGGAATGCCAATGTGTCCAAGCAGAAAAATAAAACACCAATAATCATATTCTTAAATGATTTTCTGAAGCAAACTAAAACAAACACAAATAAGACAATAACAACAAAAAGCAAGGCTGTCCCTGGATGTTTGCCACAGCTGTGAGGCAGTTCCTAATAGCACCGAAGACACAGCCCATGCCTCTGTGAGAGGACTTTAGAGTCCATAGTAAGTACTATAAAGTAGCTGCATTTTGTTGCTATTGTTGATGATTCAAATTATCGCCCCTAATACTGAGATCAAAAGGAGTGGCATCCTTGCACAAGAGGAAATGCCATCGCTACTAGTCATTAAAAGTGTCTCCTCTTTCTCTAACATAGGAACAAAGTGACAGATGACAGAGAGCTCTCAGAAGGAAAAGGAAACAAAACATCCCTCCCTCAACATACCTGCTCCTGACTGCCATGTGACTATGGCCCAAACTTTCATACAAAGACCCTCATTGGAAACACCAGACACAGAGGATCCATTTACAATAAGAAACTAACACTGGGAAGAACTGTTGTTTCTAAGCACAGATTATAAGTAACCCAGAGGTTATTCTTCTATATGCTTGTTGAGAAATATTCTTTAAAGAACATGTTGTCTTTTCTTCTAAAAAGTCTCAAGGATGAAGTCATTGCCACAGATTTTACTCCTAAAGGAGATTGTTTTTTATCAGGAGAGAGCTCTCTGTGCATTCCAACACTCTGTCACCCATTAGACTCATGAATCCAAGAGACAGAAAGGAAAAAGGATAGTTACCTGGTTTTTCCTGGCTTTGGTTTAATAATTCAGTGCACTTCACACTATTATTTACTATGGATCAGAGGGGGAATAATACATAATTCCCATGATCAGTGAAGGTCCTGCAGTTTTTAGAGAATTGCTTTTCTAAGCATGGTAGCATTTGCAATTCCCAGCAGTTGGATGGTAGAGGCAGAAGGATCCATTAAACAAGATCATCCTTGGCTGCACAGTGAGTTCAAGACCAGCCTAGGCTACAGACCCTGTCTGAAAACAGCAACAAGATGCTTTAAATGTGTTTGAAAAAAATATTTTTGTTCTAATTCTTCATAGCTGTATGGATACCGAGGAAGCTATTCCACCTCTCTATGTTCACTTTCATCAACTCTAAAATACAGGTGATGATAACAGAACACTCGAGTTATACGCAGTCATTATTCCACACACATTACATACAGAAACTCATCTCTTTACCACTGCCATTTCAAATGGCTGCTGTAGTTCTTCTATTTTATAGGTGGGCAGACTGAAGCCTGAGAGACATAGTGGATTCTTTAAGACCACACAGCTCGAAAGCAGTAAGCCTAAATCCAAATTCCAAAAACATGGCACCAATATCTACATTGCCTTCTACAGGGAACACGTTCTATAACGTATGATATTTGACAGATATACAGTAGATGCCTAGTACAGTAAATTGTTGTTCAGATTGGGACTCAACCATCAAAGGCAGAAGTGAAGAAAAAGCACAGTAGATTTAAGATCAGACGTTTTACGTTTTGGCTCAATCTGCCACTGGCACAATTCTTCTCCAAAACATGAAGTATCACATAATTTCTTAATAAACTATGACTGTTTGGTTTACAGATACTTAAAACTGAATTCTTTTTTCAGTTGGTCACATGATCTGTGTCTGCCTTCATTTTCTTTACATTAGAACAGCCTGGAGAGCTACCTGCTGTTGGAAATTGTCTATGCCCTTTGTTCTACAATCTACTTTCCTTAAAGCCTGGCCTCACATCTGTAACCATGCTTGTATGAAAAATTCCCCCACTTTATGGCTTTGCCTTATAGAAGGGGCTTAAGAAATTGACTTTGGGGCTGGTATCATGAATTCCACCTTAGAGAGAGACAGCTGCTGATTTTGCTCTGATATGTGTCTGAATAAACCTTGGTTTAATTTGGCCATAAAAAAAAAAGAACAGCATTTTGAAGATGGTACTATTGAAAGAATCAGGAGTGATGCATGTGTGTTCTACATTGGTGAGAGATGCAGCCATATCCATGTTACAATGTATATTAATTTGGTTTCTAAATAGAACTCTATAACCAAATTCAAAGTATAACCATGTAGATCCTAATGTAACTTTATTATAATGATACTCTACAAATGATCACTTTGTGGTTATGTCTTGAAAATAAAATTAAGTTCAAAATTTACTAAATAACTCTGAAAGCCCAAGATAGGAAGTAAAGGAGAGAGTTTTTATTTCCCCCTTTACCATGACAGATCTGTTCTCCACTGTTCTCCACTGGAACATGGATTCTACCAGTGGGCTCTCTTGCCTCCGAGTAGCTTTGTCAAATGCAGTCACCCATAGGAGGGTGCCCACAGGAGGTGAGTAAAGTCTTGTTCATCTGTAACCTGCCTGCTTGGCAGTGGCTTCTTTTATACATGAGAAGCCAGAGCTCCTGCCCAAGAGTTCTCTATGGCTATGCTTTTCTCTCTCTGCTTTTCTCTGTCTTCCCTTTTCCGTTACTATTTTGAGACCAGAGGTGGCAACCTCTGCTTATTATAATTAGCCCCGTGTTTGTTACTCCTAATTTATATGAATGGCCTCAGTTACCTCAACTGTCCTCACCTGTTCTACACTGAATAAGACAAGTAGTGAATTGTTTTTGCTTGACATCAAAAGGTAGCACTGGCTACTGCATATAACAAAAACATATTTTGAAAAACTCATTGAAAAACTAGTCTTTGAGCCTGGCATTGAGGCACATGTCTTTAATCCCAGCACTGGGGAGGTATAGGAAGGCAGATTTCTGTGAGTTCAAGGCCAGCTTGGTTTACAGAGTGAGTTCCAACACAGTTAGGAATATTATACAGAGAAACCCTGTCTTGAAAAAAATTTTAAAAAAATAACCAAAAGCACACAACCTTTACTAATTGGCAAAGAATTGAGAATCAGGGAAAATCTGCCTAAATTTATCTATTCCTTCTGCTTTCTTAGCAAGAATTCAATAGCTATCTATCCTCCTAAAACAGAATATAGAGATTAGATTTCACTTGAGAGCCATTCAACATGCCCATTATTTTTCCTGCATATATACATATTTACACATACACATACATATACACATACATATACATATCCTAGGAATTCAGAGCCACTATCTTCTTGCAAGTCACCCTCTAGTCCTGCAATAATGTTTGTTAAGAATTCATTTTGCCTTTGGGTTGGAGAAAGTCCTCTCCCCCTCATTTTATAGCAGGGAAGACAAGCCCCGAATTAGTTACAAACTACAGGAAAAGGGCAATCTTACCTCCAACTTTGGAATTGTATGCAACTCCAACACCACACTTGTGATTGTTTGCTTGCATGGCAATTTCTCCTGCACATCTAGTTCCATGTCTGAAGATTAAAGGAGTAAAACTTACAAAACAGTAATAAAGATAACAATTGGGTTTTTCACATGACTTCATGGTATTTAGATGTACTAATTTTTTTTTTATCAGTGTTCTTCCTTGTGTTCTTTCTACAGAAGTTATTACATAAAGTTTGTCAAGACAAAGGACATAGGCAGTGGGGACAAAACATGTGAGCTCAGAGTCTGGCTTCTGTCTCTAACCAATGGAGTAGTCTTGGCTTAGTAACTTATACTCAAACATCTGCCATGAAGATCGCATGAGCTGTGTGCAGAGCGTTGAGAACCTATGTTAAGAACCTGGTCAGTGTCGCTTCTGACACTGTTGTGAGTAAGCCAACACCCAGGGACAGTGCCACCAGCACATCTTCTGCTCCTTACATCCGACCGGGAAATGGTTCCTCACTTTCTATCCTAGGAACGGTCTTTACTAACTAGTATCCATGGTGTTGGTAGGCACTCTGCATACTACTGGATGAGAAAAGCTCATCACTAAAAACACTGTGACCTACAACAGCAATCTGCCTACAATATATACTAGTGCAATATTAGCACCCATTCACTGCAAGACGAAGGTTCTTGATGAGGGTTGAGTAATGTACTAATTATGGGCATAGTAATATGTCATTAGGAGTCCTTCTATTGTCATGCTGCTTTAGTATTGGGCTTTCTCCTAGGCCCATAACCTATCTTGTCTTAGACTCCCAATAGCAAAGTCAGTTATATGTTCCATTTTATAGAATAGGCCTTAAATCTAAATAAAATGTGGTTGGTTATCCAAAACAAACAATCAATTTCTACTAACTTAGAACAGTGGCAGTAACTGGCATTTTAAAAACTGATTAAAAATTTTTCAAAAAGTAATGATTATTACTTTGCTTATAACATCCTTTTGACATTTAACAGGAAACATATTTGATAATTGGTGTTGAAATACTGAATACAGGTTCATGCCAGCTTAACAGTAAGAGTTACCTAAAATTTTATGATTTATTGTTTGCTGATTCCCCTTCTGATTGGCAGAAGGCATTCATATGTGGCTGTATGTGGCTCTTGTGTAGTAGTTATGAAGAGCAGTGAGAGGGATGGATTAAAGAGTACTCATGGATTTGAAACCCATTGTTGTGCAGGACCACTTATTCCTAAGGAATGTTATGTCTGACAATGTGTGAGAAGTAACTACTTTTGGATTATAACTTTTGAAAAGTGATAGGAATACTATCATTCTGGGTGATAGTCAAGAGTGCTCTGAGAAATATTGCTATCTTATTTTCAAATACAGATTGTGAATTGGCTGAAATAACCTAAAATATGTTTCTCCTTCTGTTCATATCAAATGATGTTATTCTTGCTATTCTTTAATGACATGCAGTCCATGTCACTCTCTAAGTGAGAATCCACCATCACTGTCAATGCCCGTTCTATAAATATGCACATAAATATATACATATCTGCATAGTCTCCATAATAAAACAGTTATTCAAAACACTCATTTTCAAAAGATGCTGAAATTAAACATAAAATCACCTCACTTTGTTGAGTCAACTAGAAGTAGAAGAGCTGAGACTAATTGTTGTACAGATGGCATGTTAACTTTACACTATGTGGAAGGCCCATGGTGGGCAACGTTCTGGAAACACAGGGTTTTCAGGATAGGCATAAACAACACTATATGGGACTTTGAAACTCACTATGATGAAGGTAACAAGAAAGAAAGAAGGTTGCCTACATTTTTATATGGAATGTTTCTCAAATGCCCATGAGCCAAGGGCCCTATTGGAAGGTACTGGAGCAAATAATAGATAAAATTCATATAGTCAGGGACATATCCTAAAAAGTTGATTGTGAGGTGCTGGGCTCTTCCTCTCTGGTTGCTTCCTGTTGCTGTGAGGTCAGCAGCTTATTCCACCACAGTGACATACTATCTCACCACAAGTCCAAAGAGCAGCAGAGACAACAGAATATGGACTGAACACTCTAAAACTGTAAGCCAAGAGAAACCTTTCCTCTTTTCAAGTTGATTTAACTTTATTTGTTACAGTAATGCATATAATGACTCATAAAAGGTCTAGGTCTTTCTCATGATAAGAGAAATGGCAGGGTACCACTACACAAGTTATCATCCATATTGCACCATATAGCCAGACCCAAAACTCTACACAGGATAGAGGTACACTGCCTGCTCTCTCACTAAGTCTCCAGACTCATCATTTGGCCACAGGCAGATTGTTCTTAGTCTTAACTAGGGGTGCAATTAAAGCTATTTTTATACAATTCAAATAAGGTCATGCCTATTCTCAAGTATTTACTACTCATTTGAGAAATGAGTTATTTCTCCATGAGTTACTCCAACTCTATGCTAGTAATTGGCAAAGCTAAAACTCCCAGCTGGGCAAATACCACACGGCATTAGCCTAGTGTTCTAAAAAGAACTTGTATTCCTGTTGTTTCTGACTGTCCCAACTGCGAAGTGATTCTAAAAACTTGTTCATGAACTCATTTGTCATTCTCACTCAAGATATTCCCACTTTCCTCCAAGGAGACTCCACTAGTTTTCCCTTGTATTGTTATTGGGATGTTCTGAATTTGTGGTTAGCTCCTTTACTCAAACACTTTCCCCTTTTTTCAAGGAAAAAAACAAGCACTAGAATTTGAGCTATATGTTCAGTCTTTCTTTTTGATGTGTACTATTCTTCTGGAGGTGGGCTTGCAGGGGCAGTCCTGGCTCAGTAGCCTAGGGAAAAAAAATTATAAAATTTTCAATCAATCTTTAGGGATCTGGAGGAGATTCTCAGGACTTTGTCTCAGATAGTAGGTGCTGATAGAGTTGGCAATGCACGTCTGGGATCTCTACCTGAATAGGAGGTAGAAGGCAGGTGTAAGACATGTGGAAGGTGCTTAGCTCAGGGGTGAGTAGAGTTGCTAGTGTGTGTTAAGCGCCCCTTCTTGGAGAGGGGTGGTAATGTGGAAAGTTCTTCTTTATATGTATTGCTTTTATTGGTTAATGAATAAAGAAGCTGTTTTGGCCTGTGATAGGGTAGAATAGACTAGGCGGGGAAGATTGAACTAAATGCTGGGAGGAAGAAGGTGGAGTCAGGGGGAGGCCATGTAGCCACCAGAGAGGGAAGATGAGAGCTGCCAGTTGAAACCTTGCCGGTAAACCAGAGCCATGTGGTGATACACAGATTAATAGCAATGGGTTAAATTAAGAAGTAAAAAATAACCCTGAGCTAATAGGCCAAGTGATTTAATAAATATGTCTGAGTGATTATCTCATACTCTGGGCAGCCAGGAACAAACAAGCAGCCTCCCCCAACAGGGTGCTCTTTAGGAAGTGGGGATGGATGTGGTTTACTGCTCGAATTTGATGTCTGCCTAAAGAAGGAATTAGGTATCCAAGTACAAATAATGAGGATGCACAGAGCTGGTTGGAATGAGTGGAGTGGAGGTGGAAGAGAGTCTAGGTTTCCTAGATAATGATAAAGCAAGAATGAGTTGGGGTGGAAAGGGATACAATGTGAGTTGGGGCTCCTTACATGAAGGAAGTGTACCAGAAGGGTCTCAGGAAGGCAGACAGGATGTGTGTTCCTTAGGGAAGTCAAAGAAAAAATAATTTTAAGTTAAAATTACTACCCAAGGCTTTCAGGCCCCAGAGGAGAGAGAACCGCTTCATGTTGCATGTAGAATGCTTCACCTACCAACAGCTGTCAATATGGTTTCTAGCCTCTCAGTAACAAGTCTCAATTTGACCCCAATTTCAAACTGGTGAAAGTCTCTTCTATGTGGAAAGAATATAAAGTTTGAATGTCTCCTTGAAGCCTGTAAGAAATATCAATATGATAAAAGGCAAGTGCTCACATGGGTATAGATACTTTGAGACTCTAGGTCTCTAGGGTAAAGTTCCTCTAGAGTTAGGAGAGAGGACTAAAGTCTTTGGCTGCTGAATCATTCTGTGGCATCTAGCTTTGGAAGGACTCACTTGTTCTTGGTTTCCCTTAGGAAAACTGTTAGTCTAAGAGACAGAGACTCTCCCCCTTTCTCTTCCTTGGAAGACACCCAGCTGCTTCAACATCTTAGAGACTGAGCCAGATGTAAGAAGCAGACCTCACCTGAGTTCCTTTGTTTGCTTCCTTACTATGGCTTTCTGGAGGAACTAGATTAGAAAGCATTATTGTTACTAGCATGGAAAGTTGTTCGGTGTTGTTATTCATGTATGTATATTTCTTTATGTTTCTTTTTCATAGTTAATATCAAGCATGAAGAGAGAAGGGAGGCACACAGCTTATATCCATAACATTCCTAAGATTCTTTGTAAATTTATAAATATTTACTTGCACTTGAGGGGTAATTTCATGATATAAAAATGACAGTTTTATAAAATAAAAAATTTAACTAAATATGCTTCTATAAACTAAAAGGAATATGAAAACAGGTTTTTGTTTCTGCTTTAAAAGCAATGAAATATGGTACAGAGAGTATGCAGCAGTATTTACTAAGACTTGAAATAGGTCTACATTTATAGCATAAATATCCCAAACAAGAAAAAAACAGTGTATATACTTTATTCCTCCAAAATGAACATTTACTCACTTGTTTTCATTTGTGAGATCGTATCGGGGAAATGGATCATGATCATTATCATTAAAATCATAACTAGCCTCTGGATCCTAAAGAGACAATGAAAATAACAACATAGTGTCATAAAAAGCAGCATTTCTTGAGCTTTTTCTATCCTGGCAGATAGCTCCAAAGAGTGGATCTTAGAGCTTTTAGCCTGACTTAGCATGTATTATACCCACAAACCAGCAGCAGTGATGAGCAAGGCACCCAACGCTCAGTGAATGTACCAAACTTATACTCCACAGATGCTCAGAAAGCTGTACAAACCAGCAATCCATGGGTTCTGCTCTCTCGTTTTTCAGAAACAGTGAGGCCCAGAAAGCTGGGTGACTTATTAAGGCCACAGAGCTAATTATTGATGTGGCAACTTGCATCCCTTCATAAGCAAAGTACAAAGAGATGGCTGTGGGGTAGGTTGACTTCTATAATGCTTTCCCTCAGCCTTCTTACACATAGTAAGAAATCATGAAATTTAATTACTGAAAATTTACTTGAAACTCAAACAAGTTTAACTTGTGTGTTTTCTTTTCCAATCTTACTGTGTTTTTACGCATGCATCTGACTTAGATCCATTACCACTATTACTATTGCTCTGTCTTTTAAAAATTCATGATTTCTACTCTGGTCTATTTTTTAGGTCTCTTCTCTACAGTCCTTTTCCTTTGCTGTTTAGTTTTGAATTATGGCTGGGGAGTTTTGGATGGGTGAATAGGACAAGCGAATGATAGAGGATAATTTGATAGGTGAGATATTCACCATCCTGTTCTAAAGGAAATAGGTCAATAATTGGAGTTCATGTTTTATTAGAAACATCATTAACTTCCCACTTGTAGTAAACTCTTCCCTTCTTGGCTTCATATTTTTATTGTGGCACACATTTTGCTTTTGCATAGTGGGAATTACATTCGTGTAAAAAGGGATACTAACCCATAAGGCATTTGAGAAAATGACCAATAAAATGATATCAGGCATTAAGCTTGGTCTGATAGCTTTACTGCCTTAAATGGCCAATGATCTGAAGGCTTTTAACAGCTCCATTGATGTGAGCACCCCTCATCTCTCTTCCTAACACAGGTTTTTAGGACTTGTTTTTCACTTCACTGGACTCTTCTTATGCCTCCTGGTACAGGCAGAGAGCAGAGCCCAGAGGCTGACACCCAGGCAACCCACCTCTCTCCATGGGAAGAAAAGCCCTTCATGGCTGCACAGATGACCCCCTAAGTGATAAACTTTAGGACAGCTCAGACTCACATAATTGGCATATATGTCTGTGTGATTCCACTCCAAGCCATCATCCAGTACAGTAATAACAACTCCTTTGCCTGTAATGCCCTTTTGCCAAACGGGTATCACGTGGAGATCCAGTTTGGGCAGAGCTGCAGTCATTCTGGTGTCTTGCTAGTGAAGAAAAACAAAGAAACATTGGTAAAATTATGAGTTTTCTTACTTAATCAGGAACTAAAGGCGATTTTTTCTTTATCTTTGGGTAACAAAGAGAAAGCAGTTGGGTAAGATGAAAACACGAAGTTGAGAGTATAGGCCAAACAACCCGTATGCTGCTCTTCTAATTGTCCTGATTTAAAAAACATAAGAGATGAATTATCTTTGACCTCCTAGCTACACATATTCTGCTTTTTTCCCCCAGTTACATTAACAAGGTCAAGCTTTCCTCATGCTGAAGTTTTATTTTATGATATATGTTTTCATCTCCCCAAAGTCCTGAGCCTTCCTTGCCACATAGTGTATGGTTGTGGTCAAAATATTCTCCCAAGAGGAAACTAAGCATCTGGAATGACTACGACACAGTAGTCTCACTTGAAATCACTATCTAGTAGCCTTTTCCTTTGTATATGTAATTTAGGGACTACTTTCTTTTCTTTTCAGGTAATTTCCCTGATATTTACAGAGTATATGACTGTATAGAAGAGCTAGAAAACAAGGCAGCACCGATATAATGTTTCTAAGCATGTGCAACTTCAGTAAGTGAGAGCCAGGTACTTCGTGATAGAGTCAGCAAGCAATGTGTAAGTAACCACAACAAAAGCCCATGGATGGGTTGTCCCCTTGTGTCAATGCTACCCTGGATGCTCCCTACAAATATGTAGTAGTAAGGAAGGGTCACTAGGTGATTCTGAGGTTGAATCACAAGAGTTAGAAATATCTAACCTTTTGATTAGCCAGTGGTAGAGAAGAAGGTCCCATGTGAGTTGCAAGAGTAATTATAGTATATAGTTGCTAAGAATATAGCCTCTCAAGACTTCCAGTGGAGGGAATGGAACACCAACTCAGCCATGTAACCTTTGACTTACAATTTGTCCTGCTTATAAGATGTGCTAGGGTAAAGGGGGTCAAGAAATTGTGCGAGTGGCCAACCAATGACTGGTCCAATCTGAGACCCCTGTTATGAGAGTGACCCCCCCTCACATTGCCTGGAGCACCAGGATCTAGATACTGAGTGTCCTAGAGACTTAGGATAAAATCAAACATGGTATAAATAAATAAATACATAAGCCAATATAATGATACTTTATGATACTCTGCATTGATACTCAATGATATTCATGCATTGGTGCCTAGCTCAGTAGTCATAAGAGAGGCTTCATCCAGCAACTGGTGGAAAGAGATACAGAGACCCACAGCTAAACATTAGGCTGAGCTCAGGGAATCCTGCAGGGGGGTGGGTTAAAAAGGATTGTAGGAGCCAGAGGGGTCAAGGATATCACAAGAAAACCCACAGCATCAACTAACCTGGGCTCATAGTAACTCACAGAGACTGAATCCACAACCAGGGAGCCTGCCTGGGACTGACCTAGGCCCTCTGCATATAAGTTACAGTTGTATGGCTTGGTCTTCTTGTGGAAAGACCCTCGTAACAATGTGGGCAGAGGCTCTCTGGGACTCATCTGCTGGCTTTAGGGAACCTATTCCTCATTCTGGGTTGCCTTGTCTAGCCTTAATATGAGAAGATGTGCTTATTCTTGCTGCAGCTTGATATGCCATGTTTTGTTGAAATCTATGGGAGGCCTGCCTTTTTCTGAATAAAAACTAAGGAGGATTGGATGAGAGGTGGACGTAGCAAGAGGAGGTAGCGGAAGGGACTGGGAGGAGAGGAGGAAGGGGGAACTATGGTGTTGATATAAAGATTAAATAATTAGTTAATTAATTTTAAAAGTAATATAGCTTCTGACCTGTCCTTTTCTGAAGGGAAACAGAGGAATAGATCTGGAGAAGAGGGCAAGCGGCAGGGAAGGGCTGGGAAGAGAGGAGGGAGTGGAAACTGTGGTAAGGATGTAATATATGAGAAAAGGATTTTTTAAAAAAAGAAGGAATATGTCCTCTGGGACCATGAATTATGGCCTGGCTACCAGTGGCCACACAATTTAAATAAATTATTCAACTTAGCAATGTCTGTTTCTTCATCAGTGAAATGGTTGTAATTAGTAATTCCATCTTTACAACATAAGGTAGTTGTGAGAGAAATGAGTTAGTGATATCAAACACTTAGAATAGAACTTTGATTTCTTTAACATAGTCAATATACACTAAGTGTTAGTGGACAAGTGTCTTCTGCTGGAATCAGTAAGTGTTGCTTAATTTAAAAGAATCACATGAGAACTAATGGCTTTCCCTATCTAATATATGAACAAAAACTTCAGTCTATGGTTGTGAAAATTATCTTTATTCTATTTCCAGCAACAAATTTCTTCTGTTAGCAGCCTACTATAGAACGTACTGTAGCAGCCTACTATAGAGGCTTGACACCTCAAAAAACAGAACACCTTGAATTCATGTCCACATATCAAGGCTTGGTAAACATCTTAAAGGAACAATGATTTGTAAGGCTAGGTATTTGTAAAATTTTGCCTCATTCAGAAATTCTTGTCTGAGGTGTGTCTAAGAACTGTCCATTTGGACTGCATACTGTGTTGACTAAGAGCATTCTTGAGAGTAAATTCTACCACAGTGATCTTATCATACCAGGTAGTTCTGGAAATTCTTTCCTGCAAGGACCTGATTTTTCTGCATTTATACCAGTTACACTTAAGAAGACACAAAGTCAAGAAGCACTAACAGATAGATTGGTTTTAGATACCCATTCAGCAAAACAAAAGGTCCATGTTATGAAGTTTTATCAGCTCTGCTTTTTAGAGGCATAACCTTCTCCCAAATTCTGTATTGAATACTGGGATGGCTATTCTTAGCTGTCAATTGACTACATTTGAAATTAATCAAAACCCAAATGGCTGGGCACACTTGTGACTGACTGTTGCTTAATTAAGTCATTTAAAGGGGAAAGACCCACTTTTATTCCAGATCTTTTGGGGTGGGAAGATCCACCTTTAATCTGATCACATCTTCTGCTGTCCCCCTATATAAAGACATGGAAGAATGAAAGAAGGAAGCTCTTACTAGCAAGCCTATTCCTTCCCTGGCACATTCAGTCCAACCTCATGGACTGAACAACTACTGAATCCTTGGACCTTCTGTTGCTAGGCAGCCATTTTCAAACTATCTGGACCATGGCTCATAAGCCATTCCAATAAATCCCATTCTACAAGTCTATATATAGACATATAGATAGCTGGTAGATAGATATAGATATAAATTTATTCTGTAGGTTCTCTTCCTTTAGAAACCCTGAGTAGTACAGTAAAAAACACAGACAGATCCACCATGTAGATGATGTAGAAGTATAAAAACCTAGATCCTAGACAGTTCTGACAGTACTTACCAGGTACCATTGCTGATTCCACATTGGATCATTGAAGAGATTCAATACTGAGTCTTTTTTAACTGAACGCTTGCTTCTCTCTTTTTGATACTGTTGTTCAGCCCATATCACCTACAAATACATTTACGGTAAGAAATCGAAATCAACCTTGCTCCTTGGTTGTGCAAATCATCTCTCTACCTGCAAGACCCTTCCACAAAAACTTAAAAAGTTCAGTGATATTTTTGCCTGACCACAACTCAAACTCCCAGCCCAGGGAGAAGAAAGAAAGATTGCCCACTGAGGAGACAAGGGTTCCTTCCATTACAATGAGGAGTCCTCTCCAGGGGTAGGAGAAGCAGTAAAAAAGGAGTGAGGCCCTCAGATTATTTACAATGTGTTGACACTGGGAACAGAAGCACAGGCTGCTGTCATCAGAAACCAGGCCACAAGACACATTTCCACACCTAGGTTCCAGGGCTCTGAGGCTGAAAATTTGCTCATTTTCAGAGAACGAGTGAATAAGCCAAGGGTCCTCTGGGACTATTGCTGGAACACTCTTGCTGCCTCATTTCTCTCTTCATATCCAAAGGTAAAACTTACAGTGTTACATAAGAATGGAGCTGTGTGCAAATCTGAAACGTTGGCTCTGCTATATTTTTACCTCCTACCTAGGAGTATTTAATATGAGAAACAGATTCAAGAGCTGAGGTGATCAATGTGCATCACTGACCAGACACACCTGTCATTAATTTAGCCTCATGCATTATGCAAACTGATCTGACATTATAAAAATTACCTGGCCTACATCTCTGGCCTAATTGTATTATGCTTGAGCGAATGCAGGGCTGTCTTGTAGTTATTATCATTATGAGTAAGTTGAGAAATATGACTATTTCTGACTCTAAGCACAATTTTTCTGTTGTGTTTGTAATGACAATCAATACACTGTCAGGTGGCACATGGTTAAAATGAGAGTTTCCAAGGGTCAAATCCAAAAATAAATACTGAAAAATAATTTCCAGCTGAACAAAGACATCCACTAGGAATGTCTTGAATTTTCAATTAGAAAATATATTACAAGCCAATCCAAAGCCTGGGAGGAAGTGGAGAGCCAGCAATTAGTCTGTCTAATTTATTTTAAAGTGCTTGTATTTTCAAATGCTATCATGTTGGCTTAAATACCACGCTACTCAGAATCCATTGCCTGTCATCCAGCTTTGCCCTTGGGAGCTGGCAGGAAGAAAATACATAGAAATCTTTGTGGGAGGGGACAACTTAAAGTTAGAAAATTCATCAGTCGGTAAAAATAGGCATCTTGACACATGACACGGAGTTTATTTGAATGAATATTTCCCCAATTAAAAAGGAGCAGCAAAGTGCAAATCAAGAACAATTTTTAAGACTAACATATGAGAAGAATCTCTTTGCCATCTTATCAGATAAACATTCAGTTGTAGCAAGCCATGCTATGATTGTCATAAAATAGAATTACATTTTATTCTCTAGAAGAGCATACTAAACAGACTAGAGAATATTGGCAGTGCCTTCTTATCATGTGTATGATATGTATCATGAACTTCATTGTAAATAACACTTCGGATCTGCGAAGATACTAAATACCATCTTGTCTACTGCAAGCTTCTGTGATTCCAAGGTAGTTCCTAAACTAAAATTATCTTGAGGTTAATTTTTCATGGGATTAATTTCTTTTTAATGAACTTTTATTAAGGAATAATTATTAGTCATTTGTTATAAGTCTTGGAATTTTCCCCCAATCATTGAGAAAATAACTGAAGAAAAGAATTAAACCATCTGTTAATTTGAATGAGATATACTGTGACACTCCACACTGTCCAGCTTCTCTGATGAAGATGAAAGGGGATTTCAATTGACTTTCTCATCTATTATGTTGGGAATGTATTTAGAAAGAGAAGGAATTCTTTCTCCTGCCTGGTCCAAGGACCAAGCCAGCCTAGCCAGGGTAGTGGAATCTGTTCTGTTTTTTACAACCCACATACAAGGAGCCATCTACTTTGGTGTGTGGCATAAGAAAAAAATTTCACTAGACACAAAAACCTTTATGTAAGGTTGCTGGCTTCCAGTTTGGTCTTCCACGTCTAGCCATACTTTGACACAAAGAATTAGCAATGGGCTGGCATGAGCTGTGGGATTGTGGCCCTTGGTCCTGATAAAGCAGCATCAGTGTGGGACATTCTATTGCTTTTGAACCCTGAAGTCCAAGGCCCAACAATTGTTTCTTATTTTAAAAAAAAATTAATTAAGGAGCAAACCAAACCACAATATAATTCACAGGATTTCTATATTTCATGTACTTTCAATTACTCTGTCACTGTCACCTTTTTGTCATTTACCTTCTCCTCCCTCCAAAAGCTAAGACAATACTCTGTATTTCTCACAGTAGTGTGCAGGGTGTCCTAAGAAACTTTATTCATGTACACAGACATTAGGCTAACCAGCATGGATTTCTTTAGGAACACCAGGGACAGAGGAGAAGGCAACATTGTGCATCTGTATTTCAACACCCTTAAAGGACTCATTCAGTCTTTTCCATTAGCATGACTTCTGACCTTGAAAACAGATCCCCAAACCAACAGGTATAATTATATATACATTTAAATCATCTTCCCTCTATCTATATTGATCCTAGACATTCCTTGCTGTTGCCAAATAATTATGTCTTGGTATAAAAAGAAGGATGAAAAGAACTGAAACTGGTAGTTTGGATCAAAGAACATACAAAACATGCTTGAAAACACTTACTGTGTGAAGAAACAGATGAGAAGCTTTCTCATAAACACTAATATATTTTAACAGTAAAAATGGTAAAATGCTTTTCAATTATATTGAATTGTTGTTGAAAATTAGATTCAGACATTTCTTTGGCTTATATTAAAATGATCTTTACATTTTCTGATTCAAGGATTTCAAGAAAAAGCATTTAATATTTGCCACACACTACTATATAAAATGTAGTCAGTTGGCTGACTACAGTGTCGATTATTTCATTAATTTTTCCCCTGATTTTCAGCACTCAAAACTTGACTCTAGATATATAAATATACATTATATATAACTAAATAAGCATATGTATAAAACTAATGTTCATTATCTTAATCCAATACAAATGTTTTATGAGCAAATATAATTCCACAGAAAGAAATAATAAGCAATATAGAGAAGCAATCATGACCACAATACAAAAGGATAAAAGGTAAAGTGTTTTTGTTCCTGTTGGGAGTTATACAGAAAGCAGTTGGTCACAACGTGAGGTTGACGATGAATGTACACTTACACGATCATCATCAGACAACCTCTTCGTGATATGAAGAGCACTTCTTCGAGACCTTCGAGGATGATTTTTGTGTTTGAATAAGTAGTGATTTTCAAGTGATCCAATCTATTAAAAAAATCAAAATAACAGTCCACTCTTTTCAGAATGTATATACAGACTAGTTCAAAATCAACTACCGCAGTTGGCTTTTATTAACAAAAATATTTTTTATTAAACCTACTGAAGTTAACTTTTTCTTCATGAGGAAGTCACAGAAGTTTTAGATGACCTTCAGTATTCAAGAACAGAGATGCTCCTGTTTCACGTAGCAATAGGGGCACTTTCTATTTTAGAGGCATACTGTGGTATTTTTTGATGAAAATATGCATATGTAGATATTTCTCCAAACATGCCCATTTAAACAAATATACCATGTCAGAAAACAATTATTTGTGGAACACAAAATAATCCCTTAGGATTTTTTAGTAATTATTGTCACATTCAGTTAAAACAAGATATTGTAGGTATAGAGTTTGGATCAATTATAATAAATGTTACCAGCCATTATTGGTGATTCATTTTTCATTAGTACAGTGCGTTCAGAAGTGTGCTGTATTTAAGACAGATGCCTCACCTCAGGACCTTTGTACTTCTTTAGTAACTATTAATACCCTCTGGGTCATTTAGAAATATGTTTAATATTCTTTGAGCTAATGTCCTTTCCTATGAACCAGTAGAAAATGTAAATTGACTAAATCCTTTCGATGCTGATTATTTTAAATTAAGACACAAACAATGTTGTTTCAAAAGAAGTATGTATGTTCTTTATGTGGTTCTCATCACCCAGAGAAATGCTTTTAGTAGATATGTCAAGGCTTAGTTACAAAGCAGAGCCTTGGGCAATGAATACACTGTGAGCTGCAGACGTAATTACGAGGAGATATCAAAAGCCACAAGAAAAGGCCAGGGCTGCTTAGAGCTGTTCCTATTGTTAACTAGCTCAGATCCTGTCTCTACTATTCCTAGCTTTATCATGAGGCTGTAATGCTATTTGTCTTAAATTAGTATGGTTTTAGAAAAGCATGGGATAAAACCGGACTTGCTGAACATAGCGGACAATGAGGACTACTGAGAACTCAAGAACAATGGCAATGGGTTTTTGATCCTACTGCACGTACTGGCTTTGGGGGAGTCTAGGCAGTTTGGATGCTCACCTTACTAAACCTGGATGGAGGTGGGCGGTCCTTGGACTTCCCACAGGTCAGGGAACCCTGATTGCTCTTCTAGCTGATGAGGGAGGGGGACTTGATGGGGGAGGGGGAGAGAAATGGGAGGCGGTGGTGGCGGGGAGGAGGCAGAAATCCTTAATAAATAAAGTTAAAAAAAATGCTGAACAAAATGGCATGTAAGCAGAACCAGAAAAGCAAGATATGATTTTCTGAAATTTTGCTATTGAATAAGGCATTTTAACTAAAAACGACCAGAAGGAAGCTAGCTTAATTTGAAAAACTGTTTTCACACAGAGTGACCTAGGTTTGGATGTGTGTCTGGGTTCATGTGTGAGGGGGCGCCAAAGAGAGTTTCATAGTTTTTTGTTCGTTTCCTCTTTTCCTAGCCACAACTACCAAGCTGCCAACTAAATACTACCTCCACCACCCTAGGACTACAAGTTACCTCTCTGTTTACAGTACGCACCAAGATAATTCCATCTGATACTATTTTTTTATGTTTTTGGTTCCCAACCCTCAAGAACTGCACACAATCAACAAGGTTGTGTTGAAGTTGCTTGTGTCTGTTTCCGCACGAGCTGTTTTCTAGGCTGGAGTGTTTCTCCAGTCTCACCCTGCTCTCCTTGGAAGCCTCTGATTCTTGTTTTCAACACTGCGTAATAGATATTTTCAGTAGTTTGCTTTTTTGCTTCCCAAATTCCCTTTTGGCCTTTTCTCCCATCCATCAAAAAAAAAAAAAAAATGCTGCATTAAAAACTACCAACTACAGCTTCTCTTACACAAATTGCATTCAGGTGTCATTATTTATTCCTAATCCATTGTCCTTTAGAATTCCATTGAGAATTGTGAATTCCATTGAGAGCATGTCTTTTCCTCCTTTTTAGTTCCCAGTCCCTGAAGGATTGTTCAAAACAACTCTGGGAATTTATTGAGTTTCATGCTGGGCCTTTCAAAGACCGTTTGCCTCATAGAGTTGGAGAATGAGCCTCTGGCTAGAGAAGGCATATTTCCTAGTGGATTTGCCTCACAGAGTTGGAGAATGAGCCTCTGGCTAGAGAAGGCATATTTCCTAGTGGATTTGATGCATGGAGTCGACACCACCCACGCCGATTACTCATCTGTGACTTCAGAGTTTCAATCACCACCCCCAGAATAGAAAACGCGCCAAAATGTTTTACAACTTCCTCCTCCCTCTCTTAACTGTGGACAATTTACGTGACATAGGTCGAAGGTTTGACTCTACTTCAAGGAAAAGGAAAGCTCAGATTAGAAATTACACCCTCTGGATTCCCCTGTGGGATCGCTCTGCCAATCAGGCTTGCTCTCAAGGCTTCTTCTGCATGCCCCTCCCCACTTGTCTGTTAGTTGAACACACTCTTGGACAAACGTCAGTTTATCTAATAATCTGATACCCCGAGGAATTGATTTTGCACTTGGCCAAGGAACAAGACAGAGAGAGATTTTTCCCCCAGCTAGACCCTGCTGAGACATTGGTCATGCAAAGTTAGGAAGCTTGAACTGTAGTTGTCGGTCCCCCATAAGCGACTCTCAGATGTCTTCCTTTACCTCCTTCCCTTCCAGCTTCCCCCACCACTCATCACCACCGCCACCAGCGGTCCCTAGACCCAGCAGTCGGCGCTCTCTGCGAGCTCTGGGCGCGCCCCAGCACGCGGGCATCTCCAAGCCTGCCTGGCCCCTGGCTTCAGGACTGGGAGCTGGTGCTGCCATATTGAAAGGAGGAAATCGCCGACTCTGGAAGCAGGCGGCCAGCGTCCCAGTGGGGCCAAGCTCACTAGCTCACCCAAGGTAGGCTAGCGCCTGTGTACACCTCAAGTTCCCCGAAAAAACATGAAGGATTTTTTTTTTTTTTCAAACCTTGTGGGTGCGGGTTTCAAGTCTAGAGCGGACAACGGAGAGATCAGGGTCTGCTGAGCTGCCGCAGTTTCCTTTTGCTTGGCGGCGCCCAGCCCAAACAATAAATAATGCAAGCGTTTTCCCTCTGAGAGCGCCCACGAGGTACGGGGGCAAAGGGGGTGCTCCTAGCTGCTTGTGACACTGAGAGCAGAGCAGTGCAATCTGGGGTTCCCCTCTCGGGAGACTGTACTCCAGCCCCACCAGTGTCCTCAAGCTCCAGAAAGTTTCTCGAAAGTGGAAACTCTTACCTGACCCAAGAGGTCATAGCCCAGCTCCTCGGCGATGGCAGAGGCAGCCTCCGGCCCTCCGGGGATCTCCGCCGCCCATTCATTGACAAACTGCCTCTTGGCTTTTACATTGTTCAGTGCACACCAAGCGCAAAAGAGAGCGAAAGCAGTACACTGCAGAGACCAACCTCTTTGCTCCATGGCTCACACACTTGATGTCACACAAGCAAGAGAAAGGGCTGAGAGACAAGAAGCGAAACAAGAGAAACACCAGCTAGACTCGACCTTTTCACCCTGCAGCTCTGAAACACTCCAGGCTTCGGGTTGCTCTGCTGGAGCTACGAGGCGCTCTGGGAGAGGCTGGGCGGCGGCGAGCGCTCACTGAAGCGCTTCAGTCTCCCGGCAGAGTGGAGCCCCAGCCTCCCCAACCAGAATGGAAATGAGTGTTTACACGTCAAATCTACGAAAGCCATCTCTTGACGTCAGCTCTACCTGGACTGAGAAATAGATGGTATTCCCGGCGGGGTGGAGAAAAGACTAAAATAAGCAGGGAAGGGTGAAAAAAAAAGAAAGGACTGTTTAGTGGAATCAATCAATTTTGCTGTTTGCCCATAAATACTGTAGCTATGAGAAACATCTCCATTCTTCAAAGAGAAGCGCCCCATTTGAATTACCAAGATCCCAAGACAGGAAGCGCACCACCACCCCCAATCTATTTTCTCTGTTACTTTATTGTCTCCTATGTGCCTGGGGGTAGAGAGTGAAGCTAGAATTCTAGTTGCCCTTGAATATCAGCATCGCTATAAAACAACAGACAAAACCAGTGCTCCTGCTTAGATTTTTCAAATGTGACAGAGGCTAGAAACAGTAGGGGAGCTACCTGCTGCGTGCCTTTCTACCCCACATCACCTAAGAAAATGAGGGCTTCAGGACGGCGTTGAAACGTTTTCAAAGTATGTTTTAAATCATTTGCAGTCCCTTCTCTTTTCCTGAGCACCTCTAAAGTAATGCCTAAAATTCTACCCAGATCATTTGGAGCCCAGCGCCATCGTCAGTGCAGTATTTAGAGAGAGAGAGAGAGAGAGAGAGAGAGAGAGAGAGAGAAAGGGAGGGACAAAGGGAGGGAGATTAATTAGCATCGTGAGTTTTCAAAATAGAAAAAAAAATGTCTTATCGACTCAGGAAAGGGAGGAGTAGGTTCATTACTCCAGAATTTTCCTGTTTTCCCTCATTGGAGACTTCAATTTGAGCGCTGACCTAAGCTGTTTCACAGCTTTCACATTAAATACTCCATGTAACTTTGTGAAAAACATCTTTTCCTTAAAGAGAAAATAAGAGAACGTATCCACGCCCGCCTGCTAGACAGCATTCTGGCTTCCCTGACAGAATCCCTCTGGATTCCGAGGGATTGAACTGGCTAGAGGAAGCCCAGTCTTAAATATCAGCACCGAAGTTTGGACAGCGACAGCCACAGTGCTTAAAGAAGCGCTGACCTTCTGAACAAAATGGATCTCGGCTTTGCTGCCCCTGACCAACTCTCAGCTGCTTCCTCTTTGAACAACAAAATAGAAAGCTGGCCTAAGTGAGAATGTGATGAGGCTCATGACGGTTGCTGTGTGCAGCTTGTGTGTGCGAATGCTTTGAACTCTGCTCAAAATTAAAATTGCAACTAAAAGAAGACTGTATGTTTTTTTTTCTGAAAAAGATTCTTTAAACTCCTAATGAGTGTGTGTGTGTGTGTGTGTGTGTGTGTGTGTCTGTATGTGTGTTTGTGTGTGAGATAAAGAAAGAAAAGAAAGGCTACTGGGAAAATATTTTAGAACAAGCAGAGAAAGGAAGCAGAAATGCTCTCCACTATAAGCAAACTAGGCAAGACTTCATAGAGGAAGGGGCTCAGTGGTTCTAAAGTATATGTGAGGAGGTGTATGTGCACTGTGTGTTTGCAGATCTGTGTGTGTGTTCAAACACTGGAATACAATGCTGGGTTCCTACTCTATCACTTTTTGCATTATTTCTCTTGAGACATGTTTTCTCACTGAACCTGGAGGTAGGCTGGCTGTCTTTCCATTTCTGCCTTCACTGGACCTTTTTTTTTTTTATCTTTTTTCTTTTTAAACATAATATAAACTTGGGTTCTTATTTGTGTGGTACACCAGCTGTCTCTCCAAGCCCTAAAATTGCCTTAAATAGCTTTTATAACTTTCTAGTTTTTATAAAGGAAGGACTGATTCAGACACTGAATGTTTCTATTATGGCATGCCTGTTGTGATTGCTCCCAATGCCCAGTGATTAAGTTAAGAACTTATTAGATGTTTAGGAAAGTAATAAAAACAAACTTTGTATGGAAGAAAGAATAGGTTCCTACAGGTCATTGCTTCTACTTGGCCTTAGAAATGTATGCTACTTTAAGATTAAATGTGTACCCTAACATAACATGTAATTTGCATAAAATTTGATGCAAACTGAACAAACAGAAAGAACATTTTCAACCCCAATATAATACTATTCCAAAGTTTTCTGAAAGTATTAAGAATGTTGAAGCAGGAGGATTGCATCAGGCCAGCCTGGGTTAGGAAAACAGGACATTATTTACAAATAAAAAGGATTACAATGAAATCACTTAGTTTACTATTTCCTAGTCATTATTTAGACTTAAAAGTTTGCTATGGATAATAATAACTGCACACTGAGTTCATAATTAAAGGAGAAGATGTTTGGGAACAGAATATATATTAGAGGCAACATTTAGTGGGTTTCTCAACCTAGAAAATATTTATGTGGTACATTGAGACAAACAAAGAAATTTGGGTATTTGCTTATAGGACTAATGGAAGATAATGTTTAGGGAGAAGCGCCACTCCAAGCCCTCTCCCCCACCTCTCTCTAAACCCTGCTGCGTCTCAGAAAGCCAAATGATGACCTTTCCCGCAGAGCTGCTCAAGATCACTCCTACAGGGTATTTAAACTGCCCCCCTCCCAGAAAACAGACATGATATTTTGGTCTTCCTTTCTCATCTCTTCTCTGGGGGGCTGGATAAATCATTTGGGAGCCTTGTAACCACTAAACCTGGGCTCTTTCTAAGTCTGTTTAATTTGGTTTGATTTAGATTTTTGCAGCAGTAGGGAGGTTTATAGACACTTTTCAATAATTTCTTTACATAATATAATTATGACAAAACATAAAATCTACTATTTTAACAACATTAAAATTGAATATAATTAACTTTAAATCAATAGATATATGATCCCATTAACATGCATTTCTCATCAATATACTTTAATAACAATTTGATCTCTTTAGTTTATATAAAAAAGGGAATAATTTAGACACTATACAGAACTGTGTTACTATTATGGTATGCTTTAATAACCAATAAATTTTTCAAATTTTTGATGCTGCCATCAATGAAGTATTTTAGACAGTAGAGAACAAAATGACTGAAGCCAAGAATGACAACCTCCAGTTATTTAAAATATTATAATGTTTCCTTGTCAATTTAATTATCATAATTCCATGTGAGGATATATATTGATTTAAAATCTATATACTTTATATACAAAAGTAGTATAAAATTATATTGAAAGTATAAATTGGAAAATATCCTTAGATTACCATATCCAGCTTTATCACAAATGGAGGTGAATATTTAGCACATGAGAAGACTGATAGTGGAGACACCAAGTGATGTTGTACAAGCCAGGATGCCTGGCTTGCTTTCTCATCAGATATTTTCCCATGGCCAAATTTTGCTGGTCTTGTTGTACTAATTAGCAGCTTAAAATATGAACTTGTCCAACTGATCTATAGATTGTTGTTACATGGTGGAAAGGGACATGCTTGGAGTAGGTTGCTAAATAAATACTGGTTTGGTAGAACTCTGTTCTGCTTGGTTTAGTTACAGAAGCCCATCTTCAAGTTGCTTTCCTGGCCTTACCCAAGGGTGAGAAAGCCAAGAAGAATCTTGAGGCAATGTGATGACCCAGTAAGTTGGAAAGAACTTGTCTGTATAAATGGTAGAACAACAAAGCAAAATTTGTGAACAAAAAGTTTTGGGTAGATGAATAATTCCGAAGGACTTCTGTTGAATACACAAATACTTAAACTCTTGAATTTAATGTAGAATTACTAAAATGGAACTGGTAAGTGTTATTAATTTCAATTGTTGAAAATAATTGGCCTTTTCTAATGAAAGTGGGTTAAGTCTATTTTATATGCAAATATTTAGTAAGACCTTTCATTTCTTCAGAACAGATTCTTCAAAGATGTACATTTCCTGACTGAATTTTTAGTATATTCCTTGCTTCCAGGAAATTCTTCTGACATCTCTGTTCCCAAGAGCAGTATATATGTATGGTAAAACTTACCTCTCTGTTTCCTCTGCTCCTCTCAGAGAATTAGTGACTATTATCTTTGAACTTTAATTGACAGATTCTTTGCTTCTCAAAATGTGGTCTACATAGCTGCATTCCAAGTATTGCTTGGAAGCTAATTAGACATTCAGGTCTTTATAGCAACCCTAGAAACCACTGCATTTTTATCCAGCTATTGAGGATTCAAATGTAATTTAAGTTTGAAAAGTGCTGGGGTGCTTAACAAACCTCTGTATAGATGGCACTTCTGTGTGACACCCCTAACAAGTTGTTGGATAACCAGTGGCCTCCCAAACCAGTCCTTCTGTGGTTGGAAAAGTGCAAATGGTTATAAAGTCCTTCTTTGTTTTGATACAAGTCTCCCAGCTTTCCCATTTAATTTCATCTTGTATGGCCACACAAATCCACTCAGGTTATTTATGAAAGTATCAGCTTGTCATTGTTTAAAGACAGGTGATTACACCTTGGTGACTTCTGCTTTAGTCCATAATAAATACCCATTATCTGTTTATTATTTTATGTTTCTGTTAATTAGGAATATGTTTTTGACATGATTAAGAAAAAATACAGCACCCAGAATGAAAGAGACTGTGTATAGCTGACCAGAGCAATAATTTTGCCTTTTTATGGAATTTTTTTTCAAGAATCTAAATAGAATTATTTTTCCATTTTCTTACTCAACTAGTGAATACTAGACTCTAGGTTTCTTAGGCTGCTTTCAAATTACTTATCAACCTGACTTGTTTAGTTTGTTGATTTTTGATCTGTCTATATGAGAGAAAAGATAAGAAATTAAGATTGTTTTCTCCCTTTCTGAGTTTTAACTTTACAATGTATTTGAAAATTTTTATTTTATTAATAAGTGATTTGCTTCTTGCTTTATGTTATATTTAAATGTTCACTACCCATTGGTGTCTTCCCTCAGTGAGATCTAGATTGTTTTTCTATGACTGTGATAAAATATTTACCAAAAGCAACTTGGAGTATGAAAGAATTTTTTTGGCTTCCAGGTTACAGTCCAGCACCAAGTAAACAAGGCAGAA